CTCCACCTGTCCTCCATCTACCCCTCCTCCACCTGCCCCCCTCCACCTGTCCTCCATCTACCCCCTCCTCCTGTCCCCCTCCACCTGTCCTCCATCTACCCCCTCCTCCATCTACCCCCTCCTCCACCTGCCCTTCCTCCACCTGCCCTTCCTCCACCTGTCCTTCCTCCACCTGTCCTTCCTCCACCTGCCCCCCCTCTGCCTTCCCCCTCCCCCCGCCCCCTCCACCTGTCCCCCATCTACCCCCTCCTCCACCTGTCCCCCTCCACTGTCCTCCATCTACCCCCTCCTCCACCTGTCCTTCCTCCATCTACCCCTCCTCCACCTGCCCTTCCTCCATCTACCCCTCCTCCACCTGTCCCCCCTCCACCTGTCCTCCATCTACCCCCTCCTCCACCTGCCCCCTCCACATGTCCCCCCTCCACCTGTCCTCCATCTACCCCCTCCTCCACCTGTCCTTCCTCCATCTACCCCCTCCTCCACCTGTCCTTCCTCCATCTACCCCTCCTCCACCTGTCCCCCCTCTGCCTTCCCCCCTCCACCTGTCCCCCTCTGCCTTCCCCCTCCCCTACCCCTCCCCCTGCCCCCATCTACCCCCTCCTCCACCTGCCCCCCTCCACCTGCCCCCCTCCACCTGCCCCCCTCCACCTGTCCCCCCTCTGCCTTCCCCCCTCCCCCTGCCCCTCCACCTGTCCCCCCTCTGCCTTCCCCCCTCCACCTGTCCCCCGCTCCCCCCATGTCCTTCCTCCTCCACCTACCCCTCTGCCTGTCCCCTACTCCTCCTGTTCTCCCTCTGTGTCCCCCAACCTGGTCCCCCTCCTCCACCTGCCCCCTCCGCCTATCCTCCCACCTGTTCCCCTCCTCCACCTGTCCCCCTTTTCTGCCTGTCCCCCTCCTCCTGTCCCTCCTCTGCCTGTCCTCTCTCCTCTGTTCTGATCCCTCCACCCCATTTGGTTCCCTTCTGTCCCTTTGTCCCTTTTGCTGGCCATGTTTCTACTTGGGCCTCCCCTGCCCGCCTCTTTCCTGGACCCCTGGCCACTCTGTCCTGTGGCTTTGTCTCCTTGGAGCCACCTCCCGCACCAAGCCTGCTCACCACACCCCACATTTTGTCCCCTTTGCTTGGTCCCAGCTCTATCACCCCAAATGCCACCCCAGGGTCTCCCCAGCAGGGCTTGTGGGTGAGGCACAGAATACCAGGCCAGCCCCTGGGGAGAGGCAGGACCTCCTCACTCCATGCCCAGAAAAGTGGAGGGGGGTTGGAGGGCAGACTCTGAGAGCAGCCTCCCCCGTGGTCCAGGGATCCTGTGGAACCTCTCATCCAGTGACCACCTGAAGGACCGCCTGGCCAGAGACACGCTGGAGCAGCTCACTGACCTGGTGTTGAGCCCCCTGTCCGGGGCTGGGGGTCCCCCCCTCATCCAGCAGAACGCCTCGGAGGCGGAGATTTTCTACAATGCCACGGGCTTCCTCAGGTGCGCCAGCCTCGGGCAGTGAGGCAGTGGGGTGGGGACTGCGGGCAGGTTCATTGTAGGGACTCCGCCTGGCCTGGCGTTCACAGCCCCACACACCGCACGCCCCGCACTGGGGGATGGGCGTGCGAGGGCCCAGGATGGGATGGGACGGGGCCTGGGATGGGGGGTCCCTGGGGGGCTCTGATCCGCCTCGGTCCCCAGGAAACCTCAGCTCAGCCTCTCAGGCCACTCGCCAGAAGATGCGGGAGTGCCACGGGCTGGTGGACGCCCTGGTCACCTACATCAACCACGCTCTGGACGTGGGCAAATGCGAGGACAAGGTGAGGGGCGCGGTGCGGGAGGGGGGGGCCGTGCACCCCGGGCCGCCGCCCTGACCCGCGCCCCTGCCCGCAGAGCGTGGAGAACGCGGTGTGCGTGCTGCGGAACCTGTCCTACCGCCTGTACGACGAGATGCCGCCGTCCGCGCTGCAGCGGCTGGAGGGTCGCGGCCGCAGGGACCTGGCTGGGGCGCCGCCGGGAGAGGTGGTGGGCTGCTTCACGCCGCAGAGCCGGAGGCTGCGCGAGGTGGGCACCAGCCTGGGCGGGGCGTGGGGGTGTGCTGCGACCCCGGCCCCACTGACCCCGCCCCGCTCACCCCGCCCCGCTCACCCCGGCCCTGCTCACTCCAGCCCCGCTCACCTTGCCCCGCTCACCCCGCCCCCTGACTCCAGCCCCGCTCACCCCGGCCCGGCTCACCCCGCCCCACTGACCCTGGCCCGGCTCACCCCGCCCCGGCTCACCCCGGCCCCGCTCACCCCGGCCCCGCTCACCCCGCCCCACTGACCCTGGCCTACCGCTGACCCCGGCCCGGCTCACCCCGGCCCCGTTCACCCCGCCCCGCTGACTCCCCCCGCTCCGGCGCAGCTGCCCCTCGCCGCCGATGCGCTCACCTTCGCAGAGGTGTCCAAGGACCCCAAGGGCCTCGAGTGGCTGTGGAGCCCCCAGATCGTGGGGCTGTACAACCGGCTGCTGCAGCGCTGCGAGCTCAACCGGCACACGACAGAGGCCGCCGCCGGGGCGCTGCAGAACATCACGGCAGGCGACCGCAGGGTGGGGCACCCAACCCAGACCCGAGGGGCTCCCAGGGGTTCATGCTGTGGCGGGGGAGGGCAGGGGAAAGAGGGAGGGGAGGAGGTAGGGGACGCAGGGGGCCCGCGGAACCTCCGAGGTCAGTGTCCCAGTGGGGCAGGCCTTGGGCCCTGGGAGGACTGGAAGTTCTGCCCTGGGTTTGAAGGGAGGCACCTGATCCAGGCTGCGGATGATGTCCCCAACTGGGGGGCAAAGGCGGAAGCAGAGGCCCCCCTGAGGGTGGCAGGAGGATGCAGCGACCCGGTTGTCGCAGGACCCCCCCAGGTGAGGGTCTGAGGCCTCCGGTCACGGCTCACACCCTCCCTCCCCACAGTGGGCGGGGGTGCTGAGCCGCCTGGCCCTGGAGCAGGAGCGTATCCTGACCCCCTGCTAGACCGTGTCCGGACCGCAGACCACCACCAGCTGCGCTCACTGACCGGCCTCATCCGAAACCTGTCTCGGAATGCTAGGAACAAGGACGAGATGTGTGAGTCAGGCAGACCCTCGTCCCCACCCTGCTGGGCCCACACATCAATTTTGTCTTTACATGTGGGCTTCAGGCCGCTGGAGTCAGTCCAGCTCCCTGAGGGAGGCAGGGGACCCCAGGTGCCCAGGTGGCCGGGAGTAGGGGTGTAGACTGACCCCCGGCCTCCCACAGCCACGAAGGTGGTGAGCCACCTGATCGAGAAGCTGCCGGGCAGCGTGGGTGAGAAATCGCCCCCAGCCGAGGTGCTGGTCAACATCATAGCTGTGCTCAACAACCTGGTGGTGGCCAGCCCCATTGCCGCCCGAGACCTGCTGTACTTTGACGGGCTCCGAAAGCTCATCTTCATCAAGAAGAAGCGGGACAGGTAGGGGCCGACCCAGGCATTCAGCAGCCTGGCCAGGGGTCCTCCCAGCCCACCCTGCTTCCTGGCTGTGTGTCCCCTCCTGACTCCCCTCCACCCTCAGCCCCGACAGTGAGAAGTCCTCCCGGGCAGCGTCCAGCCTCCTGGCCAACCTGTGGCAGTACAACAAGCTCCACCGTGACTTCCGGGCGGTACGTCTCCCGAGCCCAGAGCGAGCCGGGACCCAGTGCAGGGCATGGGATGCCGGGGGAGGGTCACGGAAACCCATGTGGAGCAGACAGTGAAGAGGCCAATGGGAGAATGGAGACCAGGGACCCAGAGGGGAAGGGTCCGGGCCACACCCTGCACACTGCAGGAGGGACAGAGAGGGCAGAGGGCTGCACGGGCAGACATGCACCCTGACCTTGGGCCTCTCTCCACTGTAGAAGGGCTATCGGAAGGAGGACTTCCTGGGCCCATAGGTGAAGCCTCCTGGAGGAGGAGAAGGTGACGTGGCCCAGCGTCCAAGGGACAGACTCAGCTCCGGGCTGCTGGGCGGCCCAGCCTGGAGGAGAAGGCTGATGACCGAGGGGCCCCTCGCTAGGACCCCTGTGTGCACCTTGGAGAGTCCTGGGCCACCAGGAGGCAGGGGCTTATAGCTGGGGACTTGGCTTCCGCAGGGCAGGGGTGGGGCAGGGCTCGAGGCTGCTCTGGGGTATGGGGTGGTGATCCAGTCACATTGGCAGAGGTGGGGCTGGCCGTAGCCTGGCAGTATCTTGGGATAGCCAGCACTGGGAATAAAGATGGCCATGAACAGTCACTGCCCTGTGTCCTTCCATGGCTGGCCTGACTCTGTGGCTGGCAGCATGATCCTGGGACGTGAGGTGTCCCCAGGCACCCCCCTGCTCCTGAGGACACCCACCCCCTGGGCTCACACACAAGCCTCCCAAGGTCAGAAGATGCAGGACACGGAGAGCCCAGCAGAGGGACAGCTGACACCTCAGGGCCGAGAGGGGACAGGGTGGGCAGCAGGTGCACCACAGACACAGATGGAGCAGAGCTGGGGGCCTCAAGAGCAGAGGGTGACCGGAGTGGGAAGAGGGGGGCTGCCTCGTGGGCTATACTCATTCAGTAAAAGAACCCAGCTCCCTCTCCGCCCGCCTTGGGCCCGGAGTTGCCTGGACCAGGGGCTCTCACACTGGCTGCCTGAGGTCTGGGGGCGAGTAGGCTCTCGGACACCTCCATCCATCTCACCCAGTGCCAGGCCATTTATTTGTGAAGTCACTGTGGATATTTTTAAAACAGAAATCTTCTGTGACGCTCAGAACTTGAGGTCTCTAAGGGGCCTGCTCCGTCCAGAATCTGCCTGCATGGGAGGGGTCTAGGAACAGTCACGTCACCAGGCAGGGAGGCCCAAGGAGGCTACTGTGAGCACGGGACATGCCTGAGCTGGCTTAGGAAGGGGGATGGAGAGAGGGCAGATTTGGTGATTTGTGGGGTGGGGATGAGAGAGGGAGGGGTGGAGGGCTGAGAGAGCCACAGAGGGGAGCCGAACCGAAACCTTCTGCCGCATGGGAGGAGACTGAGGCCCAGGCAGAATCCAAAAGGACTTTATTTCTGGCACTGGGAGGCACCCCTGAGGCCACAGCCTTTTCCCCCAGGGTCCCAGGGCTGCTGGCAGGGGGTGTGGTCCTGCTGAGCAGAGGAGCGATCCCCCAGCCCTGGCCCCCGCTGTCCCTGTGATCCTGCACTCTGGGGTGGGAGCTACATATCATCCTTGGACACCAGGCAGTAGAAGTCTGTGCGGGCACTGTAGTTTCGCGAGCCGAGGTCCGAGACGTCCACTTCACTGCTCCGGCCCTCCCCCAGCGAGACCCCACTCGTGTGCGGTGGAGCTGATGGCTCTCCAAAGACAGGCCCCCGGACACCTGGGATGGGGAGACCGATACGCCTGAGGTGGCCACCCACAGCCTTGGCCCAGACCCACTGCCAGGGGCTGCCCCTGCTCGCCCCCTGCTGTGAGAGGCCCAGGAAGTTCCCAGGTAGACCGAGGGCCAAGCACCTCCCGGGCAGAGAGGCGGTGCAGGGGCTGTCCGTGCCAGGAACAGTCCTCACCACCTGGGGCCCCCTCCAGGCCCTCTGCCCTGTGCCTCTCCCCACTCCGCCCCGTGCTGAGCTTCTCCAGTCGGAAAGTGGGGCTGGGCGGGCATACCCAGGTCTCCCTCAGGGTCCGGGTCCACCTCTGAGTCCAGGGCCCGGCCCTCCGGGACTCGGCCTCGAAGAATCAGCATGGGGTCCTTGTCGTCCTGGAGCTGCGTCTGGGGGTCTCCTTCCACCGGCCTGTAATGCACCTTCCGCGGCAGCGCCAGCTGTAGTTCTTTCCAAAACTCGGAGGAAGGAGTCTGGGGGCCAGGTTGGGGCGGTTCGCAGGTGTGAACACCTCGGAAGCCCCTGGCGTTCTGGCCCCCAAGGGCACACCTGCGGCTGCCCGTGGGTTCCACGTCCTGCAACAGCTATTCCGTGGCTCCGGGGCCCTCAAGGGCCGCTCCCCGCATCGGGGTCCCAGGCAGCGGAACCTCCCCCCAGGGCCCATTCAGAAAGCGTGGTGCCGCAGAGCTCCCCACGGAGGGGTCCCCGCCTGGAGCCCGGGCACAGCCCATCTCCAAACCGCCGCTCGCCCCGGCCCCCACGCCTGCTCCGCACCACGGAGCCGGGCCTCCAGAGCAGCAAGGTCACCAGGTGGCGGTGCTGGCGCAGCAGGCGGAGCGCCGGGTGCGCGGGGTCGCGCCTCTGGCCCTCGAAGGTGATGAAGATGGGTCTGCGGGTGAGCTCCAGCAGCCGGCACAGGCCCTCCCTGCGGGGCGGGACCGTCAGGGGGGTGGGTGCTAAGCTGGGTCCCACCCAACCCCGCGCGGGACCCACCGGAAGCTGTGGCTGCACCAGGCCCGGCTCAGGAAGGCGTCGGAAAGCACCACGATGAGGCGGCGGCAGCGGCTCAGGTTCACCAGGAGGTCGGCGGAGGGCTCTGCGGGAGGGCGGGCGTCGGAGGTGCGGGGCGGGGGCGCAGGGGCGGGGGCACAGTGGCGGGGGCACAGGGGCGGGGGCACGGGGCGGGGGCGGGGCCCTGATCGGTGGGGCGGAGCTCGTGGTGGAGGCGGGGCTCGGGGTGGGCGGTGAATGGGGCGGAGCTCGGTGGTGGGGGCGGGGCTCCGGTGGGACGGTGGTGGGGCGGGGCCTCTGGGGGCGGGGCCCGATTGTGGGGGCGGGACCTCTGGGGCAGGGCCCAGTGGGGCGGGCCCTCCGGGTGGGCGGGGCCCGGGATACCAGCGCGCGGCAGGAGGTCGCGGTCGTCCAGGAAGAGCTTGTATCCCCGACGCCGCTCCAGCTGCGGCTTCAGGATGAAGTTCACGAACTTGCGGTCCTCTGGGCAGTCGCTGTAGGAGATGTAGGCGTCGTAGAGCTTCCCGTCTGCGGATGGCGGCCAGTCATCCCGGTGGCTCCTGAGGCGTTACTCCAGCCCTGGGGGTCCCCAACACCCCTAACCATCTCCCACGTGCACAGAGGCAGACCCGCCCCGGACTTTAACCCCAGCCGGGCCCGCACAGAGCCCCCTGGGGCTAACTCCTCCCCGCCCCACGCCTCCAAAGCTGAGCTCAGCAGCGCAATCTCAGGGAGGCCGTGGCGACCCCTCCTCGTGTCCACGCGGGCCCCACGCACCGTTCATCTCCACCTCCCCATACGCGTCCTGGTACCAGAGCAGCACGTTGAGACGGCACTTGACATAGAGCAGGGCAGCCAGCAGCAGGGTCAGCAGGACCAGGAGGGAGGCCAGCACTGCAGCCACGTGGCTTGTAGGGCCTGCCGATGGGCTGCCTGAGCCGCTGCCCCTCCAGCAGCCCCCAAGCCTCAAGGTCCCTGGGCCTCACTAGGTCTAGGTCCCCTCCTACCCTCCACCTGGGGAACCCCCATCACCAGCTCTCTGAAGAGTGAAGGAGGAGGAGCTGACGTTCTGGATGGAGCAGGCAAAGGCCCCGTAGACCTCAGCGCTGGTCACATTGATCCCCAGGACGCTGGACACAAGCACCTCTGACAAGTTGGCCTTGTCCCTGGGGATACCAAGCCAGGGTCAGGGTCGGCCGTGGATACCAGTGGACACCCCAGAACCCCACCTGTCTGGGTTCGCCCAGGGAGGCTGCAGAATTGGGCCTCCTGGGTGGTTCTTGGGCCTTAAGCCAAGAGAAATGACCTGAACCTGGAGGGGGTGCAGATTTGTTTCAGAACAGCCGTCCCAGTCCTGGGTCTGGGGCCTGGAGGTCCTCTGATCACAGGCTTGGCCAGATGGTCAGCGTTCATTCAGGCCCTAGACTTTGCTGACACCCATAGCCCTGGGCAGTTACAAAGTGTGTGTCTACAGGGGCCATGCGGACCCGAGGGTCTGTCCCTGACATCACTGACCCTCCATCTGGGTCCACAGAGGCACTCTGCTCATGTCATGTCTGGCCAGGTGGTTACAGACCCAGGCGTTGGTCAGGGAGACCACTGCCCTTGGCATGTCTGAGAGGTCACTCTGACCCTGGATACCCAGGTCTCTTACCAGGAGTACTCGTGGAGGCTGTAGTGGCCCCCATTTCCCAATGGAAGCCCATCTTTCAGCCACTGGACTGAAGGCAGGGAGCAGTGGGGCCCAGAGACTACCCAAGCTGTGCAGTTCAGAGCCACTGAGCTGCCCAAGGCAGGCCTCAGCACCTGGTCTTCAGACGGGGAGAGGAAGTCAGGGGCCTTATCACAGACACCTGAAGAGAGAGGACACAGTGGGTCAGCTGTGCCAGGGTGCCTGGCCCTGCCACGTCCACAGTGGTCCGTGGTGCAGGAAGAAATAAGGCCTCTGTGTGGCTTGGCAGTCACACCATGTCTGCCCATGCGTCCCATGAGGACAGGCTTAGCACTTGGCACGTCTTCCCCCAGTAGTGGCCAGGCTTTGTGTGTTCCACCCACCCTGTGCTGAGGGGGCAGAGAGCAGTGGCCAGTCACAGTTGAGCTGCCTCAGGCCCACACTCAAGCCCCATCTGGCTGCTTGTCCACCCAGGACGTGAGTCCAGCCCCCCATTTCCCAGATGCACCTGTTGCCCACCCCTGGTGACACCGTGAGGCCTGTCTCAGAGGAGGGGCCAGGCACTGCGCCCCTCAGCCTGGCCTGCCTCTGCTGGGGGATCTGCAGACAGTGTAGGCGCCAGTGGGTTTGGGGACCCAGATGCCCAGTGTGCCAGCACCTTCCACCTGGATGGGCAGAGCTGGGAGCCTGGAGCAGCTGGCCTCATTCTTGCCTCAGGGGTCTTGGGGCCCTCTGCTCCTGGCCACAGGCAAGCCCTCCTCACCACCTGAGGCCTGAACTTGTTCATCTTTACATCAGGGTGATGAGCCCTAGCGGGAGTGAGACTGCCATCTTCTCAGTGGGGTATGGTCTCCTACCAGCTCACATCTGCCACACCCCTGCTGTGGGCCCCAGCAGTGCCCACTCCTAGTATTCCTGGGCTTTACTGACCTCATGAGCCTGGTCTGAGGCAGGAGAGGGTACAGGGCTCATCCTCACCACTCGCCCTGGTTTCAGGGCCAAGGGCCCAGAGGGAGGGGTGAGCAGGGGCCTTTGTACCCCCGGCATGTGGCCAGGCAGAGCGCCTGGGACAAGAGAAGGATGCACAACGTGAAGCTAGCCTGAGGGGCAGGAGGTGGGAGTGGGAACTCAAGCCCATCCCTCTCTGACCTGCCTACCTGGCATGGTGCTGAGCCAGGGCCTCCTCGGGGCAGGCTGGGCTCCAGGGTCACCCCCGGCTCCACCGGGCTCCTCGGCCGAGCAGACTGATCCAAGAGCTGGGCAGGACTCCTCTCTGTCCTTGCAGTCAGCTGGACAGGGCACCTGGACGGGTCAGAGGCTGCCGCCATCCCCAGGGAACAAGTTAAACAGGAACAGGATGAGTTAACCAGTAACTGCCGGCCACAGACAGCACTGGCCCTAACCAGATGCCACCTTGAGCAGCCGCATGGATGCTGGCAGAGTTCTCAGAGGCCAGCAGGTGTCTCTTTGAGCCCCTTACATGTGGCCAGAATGGGCATCACCTCATGCAGCCCAGGGCCACAGGGAGGAGCCATCAAGTCCAGGACCACCTCCACCGGCCCTGGGGCCACCATGACGACCCCAGGGTGCAGTGGACGTACACCAGGTGGGACCCTGTCTCCTGAGACGGCAGTTGGCCTCACTCCTGGCTGTCCCCTTCAATGGAGCTGCCACTGCAGGGGGTGCTGCAGTGCCAGAGACACAGCCTGGTCTTGGGGCAGGGGTGAGTGATGTGCCCTATACCATGGGGGGCCCATCTCTGACCACGTCTGGATGCAGCCAGGGGGTGGGTGCCCAGCTCTGACCCATGTCTGGATACAGCCGGGTGGGGGTGCCCAGCTCTGGCCATGTCTGGATACAGCCGGGGGGGGTGCCCAGCTCTGACCACGTCTGATACAGTCAGGAGTGCACATGAGCACAGACACCTCGAAACGCCTCGGGAAACGCCTCGGGAACCTCAGCTTAGCCTCGCCCTGCGGTTGTGAGGCTGGAGGGTGAGCGGGGCCCAGTGGGGATATAGGTCCCGGGTCCTGGGCCCTTTCCCAGCCCGTAGCAGCAGCCACACACACCTCAAGTCTCCCAAAGCTCCTCAGTGAGGTAGCCGCAGGGAGGAGCCCAGAGCCTCTTCCTTGGCAGCCCAGGGCCCTGAGGGCCTCTCCTCACTGGGTACCACAGGGTCACCCTGTTTATACAACAGGCACTGACTGTCTACGCCTCTCCCTGCTGCAGGGACACAATGGAAGTGGGGATGTGGGGATCAAGCCTAAGGTTCTGCACCCCAGCTCCCTCAGGATTCCTCCCCGCTAAGGCCCCAGAGGTAGCAGGGACGGTCCTCTTAGCCTGCCACCTGTTCCCTCTGCATGGGTGAAGCACAGTCAGAGGCCCAGGTCTGGCTGTTTGGCAGTTTCCTCGGGAACCAACATGGCATGGGGTGCACTCCCATGGGGGATGGCAAGGGGGTCCTTGAAGAAGCCCTTGCGGTGGAGGACAGTCCAAGGAAAGTCTGACCCAGGGGAACCACCCACTGAGGGTCCTTAAAACACACACTTCCCAGGCCACCAACTCCTCACAGCAAGTGCGGGAGGACACACCCCCAGCCCAGCAGAACCCCCGGCATCTCCTGCAGTGCCTCCATGACTGCCCCAAGCTCAGACCTCAAAGTCCTCCCTCCAAAACAGCCTCAGAGCCTTCTGGAAGTCAAGGGCAGACTGCCAGGATATGAGCACAGCAAGAAAGTAGGTGCCCTCCCCTGCACCCTCTCCCCTGCCCACCTTCCCTGCACCCTCTCCCCTGCACCCTCTCCTCTGCCTGCCTCCCCCTGCACTTTCTCTCCTCCCCACCTTTCCCTGCACCCACTCCTCTGTGCACCTTCCCCTGCACCCTCTCCTCTGCCTACCTTCCCCTGCACCCTCTCCCCTGCACCCTCTCCTCTACCTACCTCCCCCTGCACCTTCTCTCCTCCCCACCTTTCCCTTCACCCTCTCCTCTGCCTACCTTCCCCTGCACCCTCTCCTCTGCCTACCTTCCCCTGCACCCTCTCCTCTGCCTACCTTCTCCTGCACCCTCCCCTGCACACCTTTCCTTGCACCCCCTCCCCTCCCTACCTTCCCCTGCACCCACTCCTCTGCCTCCCCTCCCCTGCACACATCACATACACACAGCCCTCTGCCCAAGCACACCTGCACTGAGCTTCAGTCTCAGCCCGTGTGCACGCTTGCACCTCCCACACAGCACACTTCCTACCACACACAGCTCCCATTACCACTGCACAGAGCTTAGGCTGCAGACCCCTCACACACCTTCTGAGTATATACAACACCCATTGCAACACTTGTCACAGAGCCCAGGACCACAGGCACCCCACAGCACACACACTGTACCTCACACCCACCCTTGGCCGCTGATGCCACACTCACAGCCTCCTGCTCTCTCGCACTCTCTCACACACACATACACACATGCATGCATGGGTCCTGTGCACCGCAGGCCTCCTCTCAGCCAGGGCCTGACACAGGCTCACTCAGAGCAGCAGGGAAGGTACAGTCACCTGGTTCCTGTTCTTTCCTCCGGGGGGCAAATGTTGGTCATTGATGTGCCTTTGGGAGCAAACTCTCGCCTCCGCTGGGTCCCAGTGAGTGTCCACAGCACCAAGGCTGCTCTGGGTGCATCACCAAGCGCGGTGGGGACCTGGCTTGTGTTTATGTGTATTTTAATCAGAACTTTCCTGTAGCTTCCTGGCCTTGCAGTCACATCCTCTCCTAAACCTAAACCCCACCCAGGCACCCACCCCTTCCCTAGGCGGGCGGGAGGACGGGCAGTTGGTGGTTCTCACCCCGCCTGCCCCGGCTCTTCCTGTAGCTCTGAGTCAAGCGGCTCCTTCCTCTGGGGCCCGCCCCAACCCACCCAGGCACGGCACTTTCCTCTGTGCTGTGTGTGTGTGTTGTGTGTGTTGTGTGTGTGTGTTTGTGTGTGGTGTGTGTGTGGTGTGTGTGTGTGTGGTGTGTGTATGTGTGTGTGGTGTGTGTGTGGTGTGTGTATGTGTGTGTGGTGTGTGTGTGTGTAGTGTGTGTGTTGTGTGTGTGTGTGGGGTGTGTGTGCTGTGTTTGTCTTGTGTGTAGTGTGTGTGTGTTGTGTGGTGTGTGTGTGGTGTGTGTTGTGTGTGGGGGGTGTGTGTGTGCTGTGTGTGCTGTGTGTGCTGTGTGTGTTTGTGTTATGTGTGTATGTGTGTGTTGTGTGTGTGTTGTGTGTGTGTTGCGTGTGTGTGTTGCGTGTGTGGTGTTGTGTGTTTGTGTTGTGTGTGTGTGTGGTGTGTGTGTTGTGTGTGCTGTGTGTGTTTGTGTGTGTTGTGTGTGCGTGTTGTGTGTGGGGTGTGTGTTGTGTGTGTGTTGTGTGTGCTGTGTGTGTTTGTGTTGTGTGTTGTGTATGTTGTGTGTGTGTGGTGTGTGTGTGTGTTGTGTGTGTGTGCTGTGTGTGTTTGTGTTGTGTGTGTGTTGTGTGTGTTGTGTGTGTGGGGTGTGTGGTGTGTGTGTGCGTGTTGTGTGTGGGGGTGTGTGTGTTGTGTGTGTGTGTTGTGTGTGTGTTGTGTGTATGTGTGTGGGGTGTGTGTGTTGTGTGTGTGTGCTGTGTTTGTGTTGTGTGTGTGTTGTGTGTGCTGTGTGTGTTTGTGTTGTGTGTGTGTTGTGTGTGTTGTGTGTGTTGTGTGGGGTGTGTGTGTGTGTGTGTGCTGTGTGTGTTTGTGTTGTGTGTGCGTTGTGTGTGTTTGTGTGTGTGGGGGTGTGTGTGTTGTGTGTGCTGTGTGTGTTTGTGTTGTGTGTGTGTTGTGTGTATGTGTGTGTGGTGTGTGTATGTGTTTGTGTTGTGTGTGTGTTGTGTGTGTGTTGTATGTGTGTGGTGTGTGTGTGTGTTTGTGTTGTGTGTGTGTGTTGTGTGTGTGTGTGTTGTGTGTGTGTGTGGTGTGTGTGTGTTTGTGTTTGTGTGTGTGTTGTGTGTGTGTGTTGTGGGGTGGGGGGGTGCTCAAAGGGGCAGGTTCCGGGGGTAATGGGTGGGGGGTCCTCCAGCCAGAAGACCCCAGCCAGGGCCATCCTGCGCACACACAAGGAGGACGGGGGACCGTGCAGCCTCCCCGGTGCCACTAGGACTCACACTCAGGAGCCAAGGGGCCAGCCGGTTTGCTCTCCAGTGTGCCTCTGACCTCTGACCCGGGGAACGGGGACCTTCAGAAACTTCAGTCAACAATGGGGCTCCGGCAGAGCTCGTCAGCCCTCTCCCGGTCCCTCTCCCAGGCCCCGCATGGGTGAGCAGTTGCAAGGGGCTATGGCATCTTGCGGACCTTCCCTTCAGGCTGGGGTGGGAGGGCAGCGCCCCCTTTTCCAGATAAGGAGCAAACACAGGTGGCTGAGGATCCTGGCTCAGAGCAGGTGAGGGGCAGACGGCATCTCCTGTTGTCACCACACTGACACCCCCCAGGTTGACCTGGGACTCGGCACCCAGTGACCGGTGGCTCGTGCTGCCCACACAATCAGACAAGGGTCTCCTTTGGCCCCTGGCCCTGCCCTCAGCCACATGGGGGCAGGGCTTCATCATGGAGGGGCTGCCCTCCAGCCTCCTGGCCCTGGCTAGGCAGCCTCACAGCAGCTTTCTCCAGGTACTTACCTGCCTGAGTCCCAGCCCCGCTAGGACCCTCCTGTGTCCGGGCACTCAGCCTAGGGTGATGGTGGACCTTGGGCTCGGGATCGTAAAGAGCTGGACGGACAGCATCCCTTCCCCCACAGAGCCTGGTACCAGCCCCTCCTTGAAGTGGGCCCTTGGAAGCCCCTCAAGAAGGTTCTCCCCACACTGCAGGTCAGGAAGCAGGCACAGCAGAGCCCAGGGCACCCCCGCAGGAAGCGGGAGCAGGGCCTCCAGCACAGGCCCCGGGGTCAGCCGCCAACTCCGAAGCCCGGGCCGGGCGGCTGCTCTGTGCACCGGTCTCGGCGTCACCATCTCTCAGGGCTGGCTTGAGGTGACTTGGCACCCCCTCCTTCCCTCTCTCTGCTAAGGTCCTCCGCCCCCGAGCCCCCAAGTCCACCGTCCAGGGTGAGCATGAAAACCCACAGTCTCCGACCCTCGCCCGCACAGCTCTTTCGAGGCGCCCAGAATCTCAGTCCAAGCCTGGCCCTGGTCGCCTCGCACTGCCCACCGCACTCTGCTGGGCACCCTGAGGTCCTTAGAAAGCGCCAGCTCCTCCCGCCCTCAGACCCAGCCAGCGCCCTCGGTGCGCGGCCGCCCCTGCCCGGTGGGTTTGGTGCTCAGCACCCAGCAGCCTGCGGGTGACTCCCGCTCAGCTCCGACGCGCCGCCCCTCCGCTCCCCGCGCGCGCTGGGCCCCCTGCACTGGTCCTGAATCAGGAACGTGGGCATCAGGCCGAGGGGCTCCGTTTCGCTCCCCTACCTCGTGCCCACATGCGCCCTGGGCACCCTCCAGGTGCGGAGGGCGGAGGACTGGGACGCACCCTCCAGGTGCGGAGGGCGGGCACGGGGGTGCGGCTCGGGGCGCTCGGCCCGGGCAGAGGCGCGCGGATGGCGGAAGCTCCACCCGGCGCCCGGCGAACTCGGGCCCCAGCCTGACTCTTGGTCCGCCCTCGGCGCCTCAGGAAGCCTCGAGCTGGGATCCCGGCTTGGGGGACCGAGGTGGGATCCCCGCGAGCCTCGGCGCTCCTCGCCACGCTCTGTTCTGCGCCGAGGGTCACCAAAAAGCCGCTGACCACGTCCGGGAGAGGAAAGGGCGGCCCCCGCCCCCTTCGCCCACTTTCCTCCCTTCCCCCAGGCCTGGAAGGGGCCAGGACGCGGGCGAGCTCGGGCTTCCGGGCGACGCGGGAACCTCCCCGGCCCCGAGCCACTTCCTGAGAGACCGCGCCCGGGGACCAGCAGCGCCCCGGGCCCCCGATTCCAGGCCTGCAGCGGCTCTGGGAGGACAGCGACCTCCACTCACCTTCGCGGGTCTGATCGCGACCGCCACTCACCTGCTGCCAGGACTTGGGCTCGCGCGGGGCGGGGGCGGGGCAGCTCACCTGAGCCAGGTGCGCAGCGGCAACAGCCCCGGCGGCGGCAGCAGGTGCGGCCCCGCCCCGCAGCCAGGGCGGGGGCGGACCCCAGCGTCCCGCTCTGCGCCGGAGGCTGGCGCTGGAGGCTGCGCTGCTGCCCGGGAGCCGCTGCCAGTGGCCAAACCAGCCCAGCCAGCCTGCAGAGCCCCGGAGCCCCAGAGCCTTGGGGACTCTTTGGAGCGTCCACCACCCGCAGGGTTCTGCGCGCCCGCCCCTACCTCTTCCCTTTCCTCCAGGAAGCCTGTCTTGACCCCCACCTCACCCCCAAGTGACCCTGATGTCTTCTCTTGCTACCCTCAACACCCCAGGTGCAGGGAGGAGAGGACTCCCATAGGCGCCCCTGCCTTGGAAGCCCATGGAAAACCGGAGAAGGGACAGGTGGCCTGCGGCGCCCTCACCTGGTTCCAAACCTTCCACACTCTGGGTCTCAGTTTCCCATCTAGCCCTGAGGGCAGATATAATCCACCCGGGACCCAGCCAGGCCAGGAAAGCAAGACAGACAGGTTTAATTTTATTACAGAAGCCACTGCTGGCTGAAGGGAATAGGCCAGCAAGGTGGGCTCAGGGTACCCCCAATAGCCAGGATGGGGGCATGGCCGGATCTGGCGCCTAGAAGTCAGAGGGAGGCCCAGGAAACTTGCGCCAGTTTTCCTGCCTTGTGGCTGCCTGAAGAGCCCCCTACTCCCAGTTCTGTGGGTGCCCGGAATCACCCAGAGTTCAAGTCAGGTCTGTGCCAAGCCTGAGAGCCCCCACAAAGACGGAGCAGGCGGAACAGGCCGGCGGCTTCCAGATGCCCTGAACATACAGGGGACTCCTGTGGCCCCCCATAGGCATGGCCTTCTTACAGCACCCCTCAACACGCATAGCGGTGAGCTGGTGGGAGGTGCTGGTGGTGGCACCGTCTCAGCTCCTAGTGGCCTCTAGACAGGCTCTGGCCCTACACGTCTGTGCTCCTGGCACTGAAGATGGAGGTTGGGGTGGGATGGGCGGGCATCGGGGGCGGAGAGCCTGCCCCCACCCCGCCCAGCCTCTGCCTTCCATGCCACATCTTCTCACGCAGCCTCTGGTACTTCACCTCCAGAACCTTGTTCTTCACTGACTGAGGGACGTCGGGCACGAACCAGGCCGCAATGAGCTTGATGCACAAAGCCACATGCTAGGGGCAGCACAGGAGAGGTCCGGCAGGATCAGGCGCCAGCAGGCATTTGGGGTTTCCGGGCCGGGGAGGAGGGCTGGAGAGAGAACTGCCCAGACCCACTCCAAGGCCTCTCCCGGTTCCGGCTCACCTCAAAGAGGATGACGAAGGCCAGGCGGATGGCCAGGAGGAACCAGAACTGCTCGGAGAAGTTGTAATCGGGGGGATTGCGGTAGTCCCTGTATCTGGGGTAAGGAAGTACCTGAGGTCAGGGGTCGGGAGTTCAGAGGGCATTCTTGGGGGATGGGGAGTTCCAAACCTGCACAGAGTCACGTTTTCTGAGCCCTCAATCCTATCGGGGTCCTGGAAGTCCTTGGTGTGGAAGACGGACAGGCTGTGGTTGACGTAGCCCTTGAGGCAGCTGGGGAGAGGGGAGAAGAGTGTGGGGTGGGGTGTCTTCCAGGGCGGCCCCTTCAGGCCCCAGGGTGCTTCTAGCTTGTGTTATGGAGCAAACAGTGAGGTGGGGGCCACACCACAGACTGCCTCCAGTGGGATGGGGCTCCCAGGCCAAGCACATCTTCACATCCAGGGGCTTGGGGGTGCTGTGGGGACTCTGGACATCACCAGCCACTTTCCCTGCCAGGGACTGACCCTGGGGACCCAGTCTGGTTTGGTGGTTCCTCCAGGTCAGAGAGCTGGATAAATCAGAAGAGGACATGCGGAACCTCACGTCGGGAGGAAGCCGTTCTGGCAGGGCCTGCTCAGGAGGCAGCCAGGTCTGGGAACTTCACCCCCAACTGCGGTCCTGGCCAGTTATCCCTGACCTCCAGCCCAGGGCCTGCAGTCAGTGGGCACAGGGCAGGGGCCACCCCCCGGGCCCCAGCCTCATTAAAGCCCCAGGGGTATTGACAGATCCAGCCATTCCCAGGAGAGACAGTCTGGGTTTCCCCAGGGCTTGGCTGTCGTGGGGCCAGTTTCTCCTCGGGGTCTCCAGACACTGTGAGGCCTTACTCGACGGTGGAGTTGGCTTCTTTCAGGCATGGGCTATAGCGGTACTTGTAGACCACGCGGGGGATGAACTCAGATGTGAAGGCGATGACCAACCCGTTGGCGATGACCGCCAGCACACCGATGGTCTCCAGCACCTGCAGCCAGGTCCCTGCACCAGAGCAGTGGACAAGCGGTCTGACTCGTCTCCCTCGGCTCGTTCTGCCCCCACCCCCGGCCAACGACGGGCATGCCATGTCTCTGTGCATGGTGTCCCATTGCAGCCCTAGGGCCACAGTATTCATGAGGAAGTCCCCAGCCACGGCAGAGCATGGCCTCAGCGCTCCTGCACCCCTCACCCTGACGTGGACAGGGAGGGACCCAGGACCCTCATCCCTCCATCTTCCTGAACTTCTCCCCCAAGCCACTCCACCTCGTGGGTTCCCACCCCAGGGTAAGACCTTGTAACCTGGGCCCCAAGACTGGGGGCCTCCCTAACACCTCTCTCCCTTTCCCCACATCCAGCGCCCCAGCCCCTGTGGCTCCCCTGCTGCCTGTCCATCTCCACGTGACCAGTCTTGGGACACAGGCCGGCTGCTCTGTTCCTGCCCCAGCCACTGGCAGAACCTGGGTCCCGCTTGGGGACGTCAAGCCCCTCCGTGAGAGCCTGAAGGTTTGTGGGAGGGGCCTACAAAGCGCCCCGCTCCGCCCACTCTGGGACCCTCCCACCCAGGCTCAGCCCACATCCGAGGCCGAGGCCATCAGAGGAGGGCTGGGGGCTGTCTGCGGTGTGAGATCACAGATTATGTCCAGCTGAGCCGGCGTGGCCAGCGGGAAGCCCACAGGCCTGAGGCCGCCCGGTTCCCACCCATCCTGCACCCGCGGGGCCTGACCGATGTCCTTGGCCTTGCGCGGCACCAGGCGCCGCTGCAGCCAGACCATCTTGATGGCGTCGAGGCGGATCTCCACGAGGTTGCTGAAGAGCGCGAGCAGCGGCGCCAGCGGGAAGGCGGCCACGAAGATGGTGGTGAAGCCGTACTGGATCACTGCGGGGCGGGGGTCAGGCTCGCCGGCGCCCCGCGCTCATGGCCGTGGACCCCCGCCCCGCATTAGTCTCGCGAACCCCCGCCCCGCAGCGCCCACGCACTCATCTCCATGAACTCGTCGAACAGGCTGAAGACGTTGACAGAGTTCAGAAGGTAGTTGCGCCGCCAGTCCCTGAGCTCGGGGTCCCGGGGCAGGTGCCCGGCCAAGGAGGCCCGCAGAGAGCGGAACTTGTGGGTCACCCACCTGCGGGGAGAGCTGCGTGGCGGGGAGGGCGCAGGGGCGGAGGGGCCGGGGGCTCCCGGGGCTGGGCGGGGTCGGCACTCACGGGACCAGGTACTCCCCGCAGTTGCTGAGTGTCTGCTTCAGGCCCATGATGATGGCCATCTGCACGAACAGGTCCATCATGCAGCCGCTGGCGTGGCACTGCGGGGCCAGAGAGGAGGAGTCAGGGAGGGGTCCTGGGGGAGGGCAGGGGGGCAGGTCCACCATGCAGCCGCTGGCGTGGCACTGCGGGGCCAGACGGGGGAGGGGATCAGGGAGGGGTCCTGGGGGACGGTCAGGGGAGCAGTGGCCTGAAGCCTGGGGGCGACTGACCTCTTCCAGCTTCCACAAGCCTGCCAGGCGCGTGGACTTCCCGGGGTGGCCGTTGATCCTGGGGGGGAAGGGGAGGTCTGGGGCACTGCAGGCCTGCTTCGGACAGGGTGGGTGCAGCAGGACAGAAGCAGAGAGGAAAGAACAGGCAGGGCAGGCCCTGCAGGTGAGCGGGGCACAAGTGCTCACATCCAGGCGAACCACACCCACACGTGGACGCGCACACACATACACACAGGGGAGGCCACAGGCTCCCAGACAAACCGCACCTGCACGTGGGCACGCACACACACACACACACACACACACACACACACACACACAGGGGAGGCCACAGGCTCCCAGAGAAACCGCACCTGCACGTGGGCGCGCGCGCACACACACACACACACACACAGGTGAGGCCACAGGCTCCCAGACGAACCGCACCTGCACGTGGGCACGCACACACACACACACACACACAGGGGAGACCACAGGCTGCCAGACAAACTGTACCTGCACGTGGACGTTCACACACACACACACACATACAGGCGAGGCCGCAGGCTCTGACACGTGCTCCAGACACTGTCTGTTACAGGTGGCCTCAGTTTCTCCCCCTGGAAACGGCACATTGGGTTATTTTGTGTTTAAAATCACTTGCTTTCCATAATATGAGAAATACATGAACTATCTTAAACCAAAAGCCAGGCTCGTGGTCAGTGGTGAAATCCGAAAGCATTCCTATTGTAGCTCACGACAGCTGGTATTTAACACGGTTCTGGAATTCCTTGCAAATCAGCAAGAGAAATATAAAGTATAAATAGTATACATTTGCAAAGGAAACAATGGCTCTTTTTAGAAAACATGATTATATACCTGGAAAATCAAAATAAAACAACTGAAAGGCTGGGTGGATAAATCAATCGGGTGCTCAAGTGGATGCAAAGTGAGCATCCAGCAGAACTGGCTTGTCTGTGTGGGGAAAAGCTGCAGGGAAATGTGGCGTGAGAAAGCATCGGTCGCCCGCAGACACCAGCACCAGTTATACCATAACGAGACTGAAACTCACAAGGTATCTGTGGGGCCTACATGAAGAAAACTATAGAACTACTAAGGAGCATGAAAGACTTGCGTGGAGAACCTTGTTCTTCCATAAGAAAACGCAGGAGGTATTTGTAGTCAGAGCGAGGGGCTGCAAAGACATCCACGTGCTCATTCTTGGAGCCTGTGACCACGTTCTTACCTGGCAAAGGAATTTTATCTCACACGGCAGATGGAATTAAGGCTGCAAATCAGCTGGCTTTGAGATGGGGAGATTATCTCAGGTTATCTGGTTTTCCTGGTGTAATCACAAGGGTCCCTCCATGGGGACAGGGAGCAGCTGGGAGTTGGCCTGACTCAGAAGGACTCAGGACTCAGAAGGACTCAGGACCCAGGAGGACTCAGGAGTCAGGAGGACTCAGGACCCAGAAGGACTCAGGACTCAGAAGGACTCAGGAGTCAGGAGGACTCGGGACCCAGGAGGACTCAGGACCCAGAAGGACTCAGGACCCAGAGGGACTCGGGAGTCAGAAGGACTCAGCCCCACACTACAGGCTCTGCAGGGGGAGGAGCAGCCATACACCAAGGAGAAGCTGAAAATGAATTCTCCCCTGGGGCCAGAAGGAGCCCAGCCCTGCTAACCCCTTGGTTTTCAGCTGGTGGGACTCATCTGGGACTTGTGGCCTGCAGAACTGGGAGGTAATAATTTGACTGTTTGAAGCCACTAAGCTGTGGTCATTTGTTATGGTGATTTTCTTGGAAATAATGTATCATTTTACTTCTACGATCTTAAGCCAAGTCCCACAGTCCCACAGAATTTTTTTTTTTTTTTTTTTTTTTTTTTTTTTTTTTTTTTTTGAGACAGAGTCTTGCTCTGTCGCCCAGGCTGGAGGGCAATGGCGCGATCTCGGCTCACTGCAAGCTCCGCCTCCCGGGTTTAAGTGATTCTCCTGCCTTAACCTCCTGATTAGCTGGGATTACAGGCGTGCACCACCACGTCCGGCTAATTTCTGTATGTTTAGTAGAGACGAGGTTTCACCCTGCTGGCCAGGTTGGTCTCAAACTCCTGACCTCATGATCCGCCCACTTCAGCCTCCCAAAGTGCTGGGATTACAGGCGTGAGCCACCGTGCCCAGCCAGTCTCACAGAATTTTTAGGTAATTTGACAAAATGATTCTGACATTCATCTGAAAGAATGAAATACGTAAATAACCATTAAAAAAGTAGAAAAGAAGAGTGATGGACAGCAGCTAGCCCCACCCTACAGTAAGGCATAAAGGAAGAATACCCAACACAGCAAGGGGCTAGCCCTGGACTTGTCAGAATCCATGAAAAGACAATATATAAGCAAAGAATGGAATTTGGGGTATGATGAAGAAGGCATTTCAAACAGGCTTCCCTCATTTCAAACAGGCTTCCCTCCTCTGCCCCTTGCAGCAAAACAAATTCCTTACAAGTCAGGGATTTGAACGTTTAAGGTTTTTTTTTGTTTGTTTGTTTGTTTTGAGACAGGATCTCTGTCACTCAGGCTGGAGTGCAATGGTGAGATTATGGCTCACTACAGCCTCCACCTCCCAGGCTCCAGTCATCCTCCCACCTCAGCCTCCCAAGTAGCTAGGACTACAGGCCCACACCACCACACCCAACTAATATTCTATTCTTTGTAGAGATGTGCGATGGGGGCTGGGGGGGGCAGTGGCATGAAAAAATAGAACCATAAAGGAACGTATTGTCAAAAAGAAAATTTGCTGTAGTGTAACATGGGAAACCAGATACATTTTCACCTCTGTTTTCCAAGAGACCCCCTGTGCAAAGAGGCACTGCCTAGAACTAAGCTCTAGAGCCAGACTTTGGGGTTTTTATCTGTTCCACCACCCACTGGCTGTGTGTCCTAGAGATAGTTTCTTAACCTCTCTGATTCTCAGTCATCTAATCTGTAGATCAGCTGTGCCCTATAGGGCTATTGTGCAGATTAAATGAGTTAATGATAGAATGTGTGAGTGTGCAATGGATGTAGCTACTATTATGCCATTCCTCAAGATTAATCAATATGTTCAACTGTGGGCCAGGTCCAGTGGCTCACACCTGAAATCCCAGCATTGGGAGACTGAGGCAGGCAGATCACTTGAGGTCAGGAGTTCAAGACCAGACTGGCCAACATGAAGAAACCCTGTCTCTACTAAAAATACAAAAATTAGCCAGGCATGGTAGCGTGAGCCTGTAGTCCAGCCATTATAAAGACCCATCTCATCCATCGAGAAAAATCAATTCAGATCTTGGGTCCTTAATATGAATGAATACCCATGAAGGTTTACTCACAAGAGGGAAACCACCTGTGTAACAGGAGGATAATGATTAAAAACCAAAAATGGACCCTTTAGGAAACAAGAGATAATCAGGGAACAGATGAGAACTTAGGGAGAAGGAAAACCTAATTGAAATCCTCAAGAAAATAAAAACACAGATGGGATGCTGTGAATAAAAAATAAATAGGGAACAAAAAACACTCTTAGAAATTAAGACTTTAGGCCGGGCGCGGTGGCTCAAGCCTGTAATCCCAGCACTTTGGGAGGCCGAGACGGGCGGATCACGAGGTCAGGAGATCGAGACCATCCTGGCTAACACGGTGAAACCCCGTCTCTACTAAAAAATACAAAAAACTAGCCGGGCGCGGTGGCAGGCGCATGTAGTCCCAACTACTCGGGAGGCTGAGGCAGGAGAATGGCGTGAACCCGGGAGGCGGAGCTTGCAGTGAGCTGAGATCCGGCCACTGCACTCCAGCCTGGGCGACAGAGCGAGACTCCGTCTCAAAAAAAAAAAAAAAGAAATTAAGACTTTAATAGTTAAATGTAAAACAAAGAAATCAATGGATGGAGAAAAAGGCAAAGTGAAAGAAATCTCCCCAGATGTTACAGGAGGAGACAGAGAAGGGACGCATGGGCGAAAAAGGCGAGGAGCGTGGTCAACAAGCCCGCAAGGACCAGAAGCTCCGTGAAGAGAAAGCGGAAGGAAACATTTTTAAAACCATACCTGAGGGAAAAAAGTATTTAAAAAAGAAGAAAATTTAAGGAGCCTAGACAGGACACAGGATTTCAATGGGAAGGGCTCACCGATTGCCCAGCACAGTGATAAAGAAAAACCCACCCCTGTATTGGTCCCCAGTTTAAAGAGAAGGTCCTAGAGCTTCCAGAAGGAAAAAAGTAGTATTGGTCCCCAGTTTTTGTTTGTTTGTTTGTTTGTTTTTGAGACAGAGTCTCGCTCTGTCGCCCGGGCTGGAGTGCAGTGGCGTGATCTCAGCTCACTGCAAGCTCCGCCTCCCGGGTTCCTGCCATTCTCCTGCCTCAGCCTCCCGAGTAGCTGGGACTACAGGCGCCCGCCACCTCGCCCGGCTAATTTTTGTATTTTTAGTAGAGACGGGGTTTCACCATGTTAGCCAAGATGGTCTCAATCTCCTGACCTCGTGATCCACCTGCCTCGGCCTCCCAAAGTGCTGGGATTACAGACATGAGCCACTGTGCCCGGCCATTGGTCCCCGGTTTAAAGAGAAAGTCCTAGAGCTTCCAGAAGGAAAAAAGTAGAAGGCCTAGGAAGGAATGAAAATCAGGTTTTCCACACACTTCTCACCAGTCGCTTTGTGTGTTAGAAGGCAACACAGTGCCTTTCAAGTTCTAGAAGGACATTTATTTTGAACTTAGATTGCTATACCCAGCCATGTCAATCACATGGGAGGGTAGAATAAAGACATTTTTAGACATAGAAGAATTCAGAAAGTTTACCTCCCAAATATACTTTTTTTAGTGAAAAAGAGCAAAAACCAAGAAAGAAGATGGCTTGGGAATTCAGGAAATAGTGGCCTAACCCAGGAAAGTAACAGAAACAAGTCCCAAGAAGACAGCCGTGAAGAGACCCAGAGAGCAACCTGCCAGGCGTGGGTAGGAGAGTGGAGGGCTCCCAGGGAAGGTCTCTGGAAGAAAAGGGAGTCTGTGCAATACATGGTACACCGTAGAGAGGCTGGATAAAATTGAGGGTATGATAAAGGCATTCAAGAAAAAAAGGCAACTAGAAACCCCAGGACTGGGCAGGAGAGTGGAGGGCTCCCGAGAAGATTTCCGGAAGAAAAGGGACTCTGTGTAATACACAGAGATGGATCCCAGCAGATGGATTGGAAGGCCGACAAAAAAAAAAAAAAAAAAGATAAAAGAGACTCCAGGAAAAACAAAGAGCTGTACAATAAATGTTATAAATATGATGCAAACTAAAACATACCATGATTTTAAGAAACTGACAAGAAAGAAAGAAAGAAAGAAAGAAAGAAAGAAAGAAAGAAAGAAAGAAAGAAAGGAAAGAAAGAAAGAAAGAAAGAAAGAAAGAAAGAAAGAAAGAAAGAAAGAAAGAAAGAAAGAAAGAAAGAAAGAAAAAGAAAGAAAGAAACTTTGCCTTGGTGCTACGATAACAAAAATGCTTAGATAATATGAACAGTCAGTCAGTCGTAGGAAAAAAACACAATGGTCAATAAATATCTGGAAAGATGCTAAACCTCACCAATAGTTTTTTGGTTTTTTGGGTTTTTTTGAGACTGAGTCTCACATTGTCACCCAGGCTGGAGTGCAGTGGTGCGATCTCAGCTCACTGCAAGCTCCGCCTCCCAGGTTCATGCCATTCTCCTGCCTCAGTCTCCCCAGTAGCTGGGACTACAGGCACCCGCCACCACGCCCGCCTAATTTTTTGTATCCCTGGTAGAGACAGGGTTTCACCGTGTTAGCCAGGATGGTCTTGATCTCCTGATCTCGTGATCCGCCCACCTCGGCCTCCAACAATACTGGGATGACAGGCCTGAGCCACCGTGCCCGGCCCCTCACCAATATTTTTTTAAAGGCACATTTAAAAAATGAAAAGACTGCCCGTTGGCTCAGGATGGAACGTTTCGCACACTGTGGGTGACTTTGTTGCTGACACGGCCTTTCTGGAGGTCTCTTTAGCAGGATCTATGTTAATGTAAACGCACACTCCCAAGTCACAATTAAACTGGCGACTGCAGGCACGGAGGCTCACACCTGTCATCTCAGCACGTGGGGAGGCCGAGGCAGGAGGATCGCTTGAACCCAGGAGTTCGAGACCAGCCTGGGCAACATGACAAAACCCCGTCTCTACAAAAAATATAAAAAATTAGCCAGGCATGGTGGCACATGCCTGTAGTCCCAGCTATTCAGGAGGCTGAGGCAGGGGGATCGCTTGAACCAGGAGTTTGAGGCTGTACTCCAGCCTGGGGCAATGGATCAAGATCCTGTCTCGAAAAGTAAATAAATAAAATAAAATGACAGGCTGCTGACACCACTATCAGGCATCACCTTACAGGTAGAAGGGAACCGGAGAGGCCTGCAGTCCGCTCAAGACATCAGGCTTTCAGGGGAGATACTCAGGAAGCAATCCAGCGCTGCCGGGAGCCCCAGGAAGCCTCAGGACTTGGCTGCCTGGTGACTTGGGGGCACTGATTCGGAGAATGCAGCTGCAGCTGGAAGGTCCCTGGGCCTCCTACCTGACCACAAAGCCCCCTCAGGAGGACTAGAAGCTCACTAGGGTTTTCAACAACCAAGGACTCAGCACACAGGGTTGGACCAATTGACACTGAGGCCCCACAGTGTCCTCCCCAACCCCAGCCCCAGCCCCAGCACATAGACAGCATCCTCCTGCCTGCAGACAGGAGACCAGGGTTCAGTCCCAGGAACTTCCAGAGTGAGAGGTCCGCCAGGAGATACGTGGCCCACAGCAAGCCATGGTGCACGCCTTTCCCAAGACGGATGGAGGTCGAGAACCAACATCTACAGGGCCAGGCGTGGTGGCTGACACCTGTCATCCCAGCACTTAGGGAGGCCGAGGCAGGTGGGTCACCTGAGGTCAGGAGCTCAAGACCAGCCTGGCCAACACGGTGAAACTCCATTTCTACAAAAAATACAAAAATTAGCCAGGCGTGGTGGCGGGCGTCTGTGGTCCCAGCTACTCGGGAGGCTGAGGCAGGAGAATTGCTTGAACCCAGGAAACAGAGGTTGCAGTGAGCCAAGATCGCGCCACTGCACTCCAGCCTGGGTGACAGAGTGAGAATCCGTCTCAAAAAAAAGAAAAGTAAAATTGCAGCCAGCATCCCTCTCATCTCACCTTCCTAATTAGTGAAATGAACCTTTCTGGCTCCACAATCAATGTGCACCTTTTTTGGCCAGGTGCAGTGGCTCACGCCTGAAATCCTAATACCGAGCCTGAGGCGGGAGGATCGCTTGAGCCCAGGAATTCCAGACCAGCCTGGGTAACACGGTGAGACCCCATTTCCACAAAAATTATTAAAATTGGCCGGGCGCGGTGGCTCAAGCCTGTAATTCCAGCACTTTGGGAGGCTGAGACGGGCGGATCATGAGGTCAGGAGATCGAGACCATCCTGGCTAAAACGGCGAAACCCCGTCTCTACTAAAAAATACAAAAAATTAGCCGGGCGCGGTGGCGGCGCCTGTAGTCCCAGCTACTCGGGAGGCTGAGGCAGGAGAATGGCGTGAACCCGGGAGGCGGAGCTTGCAGTGAGCTGAGATCCGGCCACTGCACTCCAGCCTGGGCGACAGAGCGAGACTCCGTCTCAAAAAAAAAAAAACAAAAAAAACCCAAAATTATTAAAATTAGCTGGGTGTGGTGGTGCACACCTGTAATCCCAGCTACTCATGAGACCCAGGAGGTCAAGACTACCATACAGTCAGCCAACATGTGCCACTGGACACCAGCCTGGCGGCAGCGAGACCCTATCTCTCTCATGTATATGAGGGTGCGTGGACAGGCAGGCCCAGGAAGACACTGAGTGCATTTCCAGCATAAAGAGCAGGTGCCCTTATTCCCAGGACAAGCCATTTCTGCCAGTGCTGTTACGTGCCTGCAAACGCATGAGGAAGCCTGGGAGGCCACCAGACTGTCTTGATGCCACCTCAGGGCCTGGAATTCAGGAGCTGGGCTCACTGCAGGCTTCGTTCATGTGTCTCTAGGTTGGATTTCCACTCGCTCTCAGCAGAAATTATTTTTAAAATTAAAAGAATGGATATTGCCACTTTAAAGGCGGTGGAACAAGCCCTCGTGAGTTGGGTTGGAGCAGCCTGGCGCCAGCCCTACCTGCCCAGGATGAAGGCGATGTAGATGAGAGACGAGAAATGGGTGAAGAACTGCAGTGTGAAGAAGCGGATGGTAAACCTGCTCTCTCGCTCCGAGTGGGTCCTGGGCATCTCTGGAACGGAACGGGCCCTCACCTCTCTCCCTGCTCATGGGAGAGGCCCTGGGGCAGCAGGAAGGGCCCCCTCCCCTGCTCTCTGACCACAGCTCCAAGGCCCAGCCCTGAGTCCTCCCGCCGGGTCCCCCAAGAGGGCCTGGGGTCGTCCTCTCACCGAAGTCACAAAGCTTCAGGGCCACGTACTTGTTGATCTGCGGAGGAGGGCACCGAATGGGCTCACTGGGGCCACGGCAGACCCCCCAGCTTGCGCCTGCCCCGCTCCCGGCCCCACCTTGGTCATGATGCTGATGGTCACATAGTGCACCAGGGCTCCGGTCACCACCACTGCTGTGGTCACCTGATCCTCCAGGAAGGGCAGGGCCGAGCTGCTGAAGAGTGCAGAGGCCAGGACGCGGTAGACCACCAGGATGTGGGCCATGCCGATCATGAGGCAGATCTGCGGGACGGCTGTGGTGGGTGGGGGCCAGGGCAGGTGCGCAGCCCGGGTCTCCAGCCCCACCACGGTGTCCCCCGAATACCATGATCAGGGACAGGATGAGGATGACGGTGCTGCGCAGGTAGGAGTGCTGGTGTGGCCGGAGCTTGTAGTCAGGGCAGTTAATGAGCTGAAGTGCCATTTCCTCCTGGGGAGAGCACCAGGCAAGCCTCAGACACGGGACACGCCTCACAGGTGGACAGACGGGACACACACCCCACACGTGGGGAGACAGACACGGGACACGCCTCACAGGTGGACAGACGGGACACACGCCCCACACGTGGGGACACGGGCACAGGGACACGCCTCACAGGTGGACAGACGGGACACACGCCCCACACGTGGGGAGACAGACACGGGACACGCCTCACAGGGGACAGACGGGACACACATCCCACACGTGGGGAGATGGACACGGGGACACACCTCACAGGTGGACAGACGGGACACACGCCCCACACATGGAGAGACAGACACGGGACACACGCCTCAAACACGACAGGCATATGTAGGCCGTGCAGGGCACCAGGCGCCCACAGCCTGTGCCCAGGTCCGCCTCAGCTGTGCTGCCAGCTCCACCTCACCTGGTCTTCGTCCCATGTGTACAGGTCCCAGTGCAGGACCACGCGGGCACGCTGCCGCTTCCAGATCTCCAGGAACACCGTGGCTGTGGCGGGGGCAAGGAGGGGCATCACTGCGCTATGCCGGGTGGACCTTGGAGCTCAGGCTGGCACTTCCCCCGGCCCCGCAGAGGTGTCCCGCAGCAACTCACCCCAGAGAGCCATGAAGATGGCGAACACCACCGTGCCGTCATTGTCAAAGAGGTGAGTGAGCTGGGGGGGTGATGGTTGGGCCGGAGAGGAGATGGGTGAGCTGGGGAGGGGGGCGGGTGAGCGGGGGGGGGGTGAGCCGGGGAGGGGGGGGTGAGCCGGGGAAGGGGGCGGATGAGCGGGGGAGGGGGGGTGAGCCGGGAGGGGGGGTGAGCCGGGGAGGAGGGGTTGAGCCGGGGGGGGCGAGTGAGCCGGGGAGGGGGAGGTGGGCCGGGGGGGGGTGAGCCGGGGGGGGTTGGGCCGGGGAGGGGGGGTGGGCTGGGGCTGGGCCTCCCCCTCAGCCCTGTGGGAAAACTGAGCAGCTCTGCAGGGCTCCAGGCCTTGGCCTCCCCACCTCCGGGTGGGCGCACTGTGCCCATCTTCCGCAGGCCCTGGGGTGGACCCAGAGGTGACAAACCTTGGCGAAAGTGCAGGTTTCCGAGAGCCGCTGGTACCTGCGGCTGTGGTCGCCGAGGGGACACATGAGGATGTCGTGGGCCTCACAGATCTCCTTGCTGAAGGGGCAGGGATGAGGCTGGGGCCAGCTCCTCCTGGCAGCAGGTCCCACCCCGGACCCCCACGCCCGGCCCCTGCTGCAGCCCACCTGATCTGGCTGGCATCAAACAGCGAGAATCCGCTCAGAAAGACCAAGAGGCCTGTCAGGGCGGCCGGCACCAGCATGTAGTTGTACCAGCCCAGCCAGGCGAAGTACAGGGCCACCTTTTCCCCAAAGTAGTTCCTGCAGGCAGCAGCGGTCAAGGCCCGCTCCGCTGGGCACGTGGCTGTCAGGGGGCGGTGGGGGAGGGACGGGGGTGGGAGGGGGCGTAGGGGTGGGACGGGGGTGGGAGGGGCGGTGGGGGAGGGACGGGGGTGGGAGGGGTGGTGGAGGTGGGAGGGACAGGGTGGGGGAGGCGGGTCTCTCCTTTGGTGGCATCAGTGAGTCTGAATGGGGAGCACATCTGTGGGCATGAGGGCATCTGTGGGGGTGTGGGCAGTGTGGGGGCATCTTCTGGGTGGTGTGTGGGGGCGTCTACAGGGGTGAGGGCAGCCGTGGTGGTGTGGAGGCATCCACAGGGGGTGGCAACTTCCGGGTGGTGTGTGTGGGTTAGTCTGCAGGGCTGTGGGGGCTCCCGTGGGTATCTGGGGGCGTCCGTGGGGTTCCTGCGATCTCTTTGGCCAGCGTTACCTGATCTCGTCAACTGGCTGCTCGCGGAACATGTGTCTCCAGCCTGCCCACGTCTTCTTCAGGTGTCCCTCCCCCTGGCTCGGGCGACAGGGAATGAGAGCCCCCATCCCAGGGTCCCACCCCAAGGCCCTCTCCCGGCTGCCCACTCCTCACCTTGTGCAGGGGGAACTTGGCCTCGAAGACCCCGTCCTTTTCCAGATCCTCGAAGGTCTCTGTGGGTCACAGGGGCTCACGAGTCAGGGGGAGTGAAGTGCTGGAGGAGGCTGCCCGCGGCGCCCCGTCGGTGCCCCAGCCCTGCCCTCACCGCCAGCCGAGGTCTTGGTTTTCATGACAACGAAGTTCACGATTCGGATTCTGAGATTCAAGAGCCAGAGCAGGGTGGGCCCGTGTGACCACAGTGGACCCTGCCTCCAGGTCTCGACCTGCCCTCTGGTCTGGCCAGGCCCAGGCCCCTCCCTGTCCTGGCGGAGCCCCCAGCCTGCCAGCCCTGACCGGAACCCGGAATCCACAACCCACCCGGGAGCTCCCCCCGCACCCTCCTTAAAGTGCTCCCAGGGCCTGACCTGCCCCACGGCGTCCAGGATGAGGCTGGGCTGGGAGCTTCCTCTCCTCCCAGCCCGTCCCTCCCAGAATCCCAGACCACAGCCCCCACCTCCAACCACACCTCCCACCTGCGGGCCCCTTGTGTCCAGAGCACACCCCGGCCTTTATCCGCACACACCCTCCTTATACCCTGGGAGCTGTTCTGTCTGTGCAGAGACTGAGGCTCAGGAAAGGGAATGTCCCAAGGCCACACAGCCACAAAGCAGCACAACCAGGTGTCCGACGGCAGAGCCGGGCTCCGAGCCTCCCCCTGTGCCTAGAGACATGGCTCCTGGACACCCCAGGGCACGTCGCAGGCACGTGCCCCCTGAAGCCACCTCCCCTCCTTTGATGCCCCCTCGCGACCCCTGAAGACCCACAGCTCTCTGTTCACGGATCCGCTGCCCCATCCACTGCCTCGTGACCACTGCCAGGAGTGTCCTTGGCCAGTCCACAAAGCAGGCTCTGGCTGAGCCCTGCGGGGCCTGGACGGGGCTGGGCAGGTCATGCGGGCATGGAGGGCCAGGCTTGGAGGCTCCCTCCCGGGCTGGAGGACTGGGGAGAAGCAGGGCCTGAGGGAGTGAGGAGGCTGTCCCTGCCGGGCCTCTGGGTCTGTGCCTGGGAGGCCAGGGACAGTGTCCAGGAAGGGGCATCAGACCTGGAGAGGAGGCGTCTTCAAGAGACACTGGCCTTGGTCCAGGAGGGGCCACTGGGCCTCTGCAAACCACGCCCACCCCCTAAGGCTGGCTCTGACTCTGTCCCCAGGAACGAAGGCAGCCACACGGGGCCCTCAGAACGCTCTGAGAGGTGAGAACCACCATGATCCTTTATTGGGATGGGGAAGCTGAGGCTCACACAGCCAGTGGGTCTCACACCTGTGGCCCCTGCCCTGAGACCACGCGGCTGTCCCGCCTTGGCGATGCCCGGAGCCTGGCACTGTCTCCTGCCCGGTCTGGACCAAGCACACGGGTGGCAAGGGATCCTCCTGGACGCAGCTCTGGGTGCAGCCTCTCACCTCGTGGTGACCGGGACGGGGGTCGGCGCGGCCAGCTCGGCGTGGGGGGCAGGCCCCTCGGGCTCCAGGAGGAGGGTGCGGTACAGGTCGAAGATGCTGCTGTCAGCACGGATCCCAAAGAAGACCCGTTTCTGGTCCTGTATCGTCTGGGGCTGGGAGGCACACGGGACCCTCTATTCCACCTCCGAACCCTCCCTACCTCTGCAGCCCTGGCCCAGACCACGGAGCCTCCTCGCTTCTCACGCCCCTGCTTCTCCCCAGTCCTCCAGCCCGGGAGACAGCCTCCAAGCCTGGCCCTCCGTGCTCCCGTGACCAGCCCCACGCCCCGTGCCCCTCGCTGGGCACCAGCCCACCTTGATGTGGAAGCCCTTTCTCGTGAGCTCCTCCAGGAACTGCTGCTGCCGCACCTGCCGGGGGTCTCCCTGGGTGTGATGATGGGCCACGAGGACATAGTCCCACTGCTCAGAGGCCTCGGCCTACAGGAAGGAGGCACCGGGCAGGTGAAGGGGCAGGACAGGGCCGGGGGGGCCCGGGAGGGGCCCACGGACACCCACCTCACAGGTGCCGATCTCCATCAGAGGGAAGCTGTCCCCTTCGGGCTCCACCAGGATCCGGAGGCTGTCTTTGCCCTGGGGGTTTGGGGGCAGAGAAAGGGATAGGAGGATGTGATTGGGGGCAAGAGGCCCCTCACTGGCGGGTCCCTGCGTCAGACCACATAGTCACACACCGTCCTTCCCCACAGCGAGAACAGCAGAGTCCCAAGGAGTTGGCTGTAGGCGGGTGACAGGCCAGAGGGCCAGGACCTCCTGCAAACAACCGACAAGACTGTGGAGACGGAAGCACGTGAGGGTTCCTGCAAATGCAAAAGGGAAGATGCAGCCCACAGAGGCCAGCGGGATTGTACGGAAGAGGAGCATGGTGAGCAGCCGACAGGGGAGGCGACGGGAACGCCAGAACAGCCAGGGAAACGCAGGTCAGAGGACCAGGAGACGCCGATGCGCGGGAGAAGCCACAGGCACCCCTGCACACTGCCGGTGCTGTGCGTATCAGAGCATGGGTTTGGAAACCTGTTGGACTGTGTTTAAAATCGAACGCTCCCAGCTCCTGGCCCAGCCCGTCCACCCCTGGAGGGGCAGACAAGGGCACTCACGGCGGCCCCATTTCACATGAGGTCCCGGGGGCTGGGCTGACGGATGGACACCATGCCATCCTCACACAGGGAGGGTCCTGCAGCAGGCGAGGTGAGTGCCTGCAGGGCACAGCACACGGGGCTCCCGCGGGGTGACTGCCAAGGCACATCCCAGCAGTCACAGGGACAGGAGAGTCTGGGGCCAGAACCTTCCGGAGGAGGGGAATTTGCAGGGCCTCAGAGCGTCCGCCTGATATTTGTTAATTACTGAGGCAGTCCCCATGCCATCTCTGGCTGCATCATACCCGGTCCCTGCACCTGAGTCCTTCCCCTCTCCCTGCTGCATCCTCGCCAAGCTCAAGACCTGCCTCCTTGCCGGGCGCGGTGGCTCAAGCCTGTAATCCCAGCACTTTGGGAGGCCGAGACGGGCGGATCACGAGGTCAGGAGATCGAGACCATCCTGGCTAACACAATGAAACCCCGTCTCCACTAAAAATACAAAAAAATTAGCCGGGCGTGGTGGCGGTGCCTGTAGTCCCAGCTACTCGGGAGGCTGAGGCAGGAGAATGGCGGGAACCCGGGAGGCGGAGCTTGCAGTGAGCCGAGATCGCGCCACTGCAGTCCAGCCTGGGCGACAGAGCGAGACTCCGCCTCAAAAAAAAAAAAAAAAAAAAAAAAAAAAAAAAAAAAAAAAGACCTGCCTCCTCCGGAAAGTCTCACTTGACTGCTTGAGCCTGTTGGCCCTTGAGGGCTGCCGGGTAAAGCAGAGGCCACCCAGTCACACTTCATTTCCAGATAAACAACAGGAGGATGTAGTATAGATAGGGTAGGGTAGGGTAGGGTAGGGTAGGATAGATGCCCAGTGATTGCATGGTGCACGCCTACACTAAAAATGTTGTTTATCTGACATTCAGCTTGACTGGGTGTCTGTTTCTTTTTTTTTTTTCTTCTTTTCCTTTTTTTTTGAGACCGAGTTTTCCTCTTGTTGCCCAGGCTGGAGTGCAGCGGTATGATCTCAGCTCACCGCAACCTCCGCCTCCCGGGTTCAAGCGATTCTCCTGCTTCAACCTCCCGAGTAGTTGGGATGACAGGCACCCACCACTGCACCGGGCTAATTTTGTATTTTTAGTAGAGACAGGGTTTCTCCATGTTGGCCAGGCTGGTCTCGAACTTCCGCCCTCAGGTGATCCGCCCACCTTGGCCTCCCAATGTGCTGGGATTACAGGCGCCTGGCCCTGTCTCTTATTTTGTTTCGCTAAGTCTGTAACCCTAGTCAAGGTCTGCCCTCCAGCCCCCACCCCCCCCACACACACCAGGAGCTACTGATTCCGGGACAGGTCTCCCCATTCTCTCTAGTGTCTCAACCACAGAAGCCAGGAAATGCATCCAACCAACCCCAGAATGGGAGACTCTCAGGCAGGGGATTGGTCCACAGCTAGTATCAGTCCTCGGCCAGTCAGGAACCGAGAGCAGGAGGTGAGCAGGGGGTGAGCAGGGGGTGAGCAGGGGTGAGTAGGGAGGTGAACAGGTGAGAGGGGGGTGAGCAGTGAGTGAGCAGGGGTGAGCAGGGGGTGAGCGTTCCCGTTCCCGCCTGGGCTGCGCCTCCCGTCAGATCACCGGAGGCATCAGACTCTAGCAGGAGCGAGAGCCCTGCTGGGAGCTGCACATGCAGGGATCTCAGCTGCTCCTTATGAGAATCCAGTGCCTGATGATCTGAGGTGAGACAGTTTCATCCCAAAACCATCCCACCACACCCACAGCTGTGGAAAAACTGTCTTCTGTGAAACCGGTCCCTGGTGCCGAAAAGTTTGGGGAGCGCTGCTCTGAGGCATCCGACGCCCTGGTCACAGGGAGATGGGCTGCGCAGACACCATCTCAGCGCCCAGCGCCACACTGCAGCCTCCCTGGGGCTCTGAGGCCTCCGACACCCCGGTCACGGGGAGATGGGCTGCGCAGACACCATCTCAGTGCCCAGCGCCACACTGCAGCCTCCCTGGGGCTCTGAGGCCTCCGACACCCCGGTCACGGGGAGATGGGCTGCGCAGACACCATCTCAGTGCCCAGCGCCACACTGCAGCCTCCCTGGGGCTCTGAGGCCTCCGACGCCCCGGTCACGGGGAGATGGGCTGCGCAGACACCATCTCAGTGCCCAGCGCCACACTGCAGCCTCCCTGGGTGGGGAGGTTCTTGCCCTAGTTGGCCCACGGGGCTCACCTGGTCCTTCTGCCCCATCCTAGACCAGCAGTTCTTCCTGCCTCAATCAGCCCTTCCTCTGACTCCCTGCCTGGCCTTCCCAACAGCCCACGGACAGATACCTGCACTCAGGTGTGGCATGCCACACTGAAACTTCTCCCCCGTCCTGGGTCAGAGGAGAAACCTCCATCCTCAGACAGATATGCAGGGAAGGGCGTGGCACCTGCCCAGGTGGGAGAGGCACCTCTGTCTCAGTGCAGAGGGCAGCCTCGCCCGAGGGGACTGGTGGCCCGGGGGACGTGGGCGTCACCACTCTGGCTCTGTGGTTTGCCTCCATAGGAGCCCGGGAAGTGTGTCAGTGGGGTTTGTGGGGGAATGGCCCCTCACATGCCTGGCTTCAGACCCAGGATGAGGGTCCCTCCTCTGCCCAGAACCCCAGCTCCTCTGGCAGACGCTGAAATTAGAGACCCCCTCCCATCAGCCTGGGCCCAAAGCTGAAAGCAGGCAGGATGAGCCCAGACCCCTGAGAAGGAAGGGACGAGGCAGGGACCCCAGACCAGGCGGGACTTTCAGAGAAGCCTGGGAGAAGGGACTGTCCTTGGGGATCACTCTCAAGGGTCAGGGTGGGAAGTCATCCTTCACCCCAGAAATGAGGCACAGAAACCTCTTCCCCACCAAAGACATCGTGCAGCCCTGGGGTGATGACCCCACGCCTCGAAACAGCCGAATCAGCCTACCCCGGGGAGTGGGGTGTGGAGCCCTCATCACTGATGTGGGCTGACAGGGAGGCCTCCACCCGGGGCAGAGCTACACGCACACCTGGGGCGTGCCAGCCCCTGGCTGCCCTTAGCTGCTCCCTTAGACCAGGCAGAAGCACTAGGGCTGGCAGGTGGAGCCCCCCCAACAGCCAGACAGGTGGAGCCCCCCAGCACACACAGCCAGACAGGTGGAGCCCCCGAGCACACACAGCCAGACGGGTGGAGCCCCCCAGCACACACAGCCAGACAGGTGGAGCCCCCCAGCACACACAGCCAGATGGGTGGAGCCCCCCAGCACACACAGCCAGACAGGCCTCAGGCTCTGAGACTCTGCTGCGGAACTCTGGGCCCACCGGCCTCCAGGACCTGCCGTCCATCTGTCCATCCATCTCCAGGGCCAGTGTTTACGGAGCCACACCCACCGGCCCATCCCCGGGGCCGCAGCCACAAGCCTCCAGGACTGGGCCGTCCATCTGTCCTTCCATCTCCAGGGCCTGTGTTTATGGAGCCACGGGGGCCTGGCTTCTCCACACCGCCCTCGGGGTCTTCACAGGTGGGGGCTGGACCACCTGAAGTCACCTCTGCTTCCACCCAAGCAGACTGTTCGGTTTATCCACAGTGAGAGGTTTATCCACAGTGAGACGTCTGGGACCCCCATGTCCCCAGTCCATGGGCTGCACCTCCAGAAAGCTGTGTGTGGGCCCAAAGGCTCCCAGCTCCCAAGGCAGGGACTGGGGCTGGCCCTACACACTCAGTCTTGGGACCTCTGAAGCTTCAGCCAGCCTTGCCGTCTGCAAACCCAGAGAGGGAGGCCAGCTCCGGGTGGACAGCCGGCCAGGCCGTGGCTCTGACACAACTGAGACGCCCCAGGCCTCAGTTTCCTCATCTGTGCAACAGGGTGCCCTCACCCCAGCCCCCAGAGTCACCTGAGCGGTGTGCAGACACAGGAAGAAGGTGGACAGAACCACACACTGTCCTCCCCATCCTTCCTGCACCACAGCCCTCGCAGGCAACACACCCAGTAATCCAGGGCCCCAAGGAGTTGGTGGGGGGCCCCTGGCACCCCCATTGTGGGCATAGGCCAGCATCCAGTGGGCAAGCCCCCGGCTCCCAATGAGGAAGCTTCTAGAGATACTGTAGCCCACAGGAGACCCTTCCAAGGGCCGGAGTGTGAGGACGGAGCTGGGGGTCCTGCCCATCCTTCCTCTTCCCAGTCCAGCCTCCAGGTTGGGGGCAGGCAGAGGAGACGGCTGTGTAGATATGACCCCACCCTGCTCTTGAGAGGCCTGGCCAGGGGTCCCGTGACACATGTCCCCCCAGGTGTGCATGGGAAGGTGTTTGGGCCTCATCTCCTCCTGAGGTCACGTCAGGCCTCTTGGCCAGCACCCTGAGCCCTCTGGGAATCTGGTCCTTGAGAACTTCAGTTTCCTCATCCCCGGAGGGTCCCCTCCTGCGCCCACCGCAGTCCCAAGCACACAGAGGCCCACCTTGTGAGCCACAGTGCCCAGCCTCTGCCCAGCCTACGCATCCTCTGAGCAAACCTTCCCTTGGAGGCCCTGAAGCCAGTCGTCCGCCCACCCAGCTGCCCAGTCTGTCATCTGTCAGTTCACCCATCCATGTGCCCGTCCATCCCCAGACACTGACGGAGTGACCTGCATGCAGCCCTCCCAGGCAGTGCATGGCGTTCGTGGATGCAGGGGCAGGGGCCTACTTGGCAGGTGAGGAGGCATGGAGCTTGGCATTGTAGGGTAAGAGGTTGGCAGAAGGTGAGAAAATGGGAGCAGAATTCCTGGGAGAAAGAACATGTGTGGGCAGGCCCTGAGAATCAGGGTGCAGTTGGTATCTGGGACTCAGCAGTCAGCACCTCCCAGGGACTCAGCACTCAGCACCTCCAAGGAGGACTTGGTAGCTACTACTTCTGGTGACTCAGCACTCAGCACCTATGGAAACTGAGTCCAGGGACTCAGTCCTTGGCACTTCAGCTTTGCAGAAGCATAAAGGACAAGAAGGGAGCTGCCAGAGGGGAGGCTGGAGGTTGGCAGAAGCCAATCAGGGAGGGCTGCTTGGCCAACTGGAGAGCTTGGACTTCAGCAGGGGCAGTGGGGAGCCATGGAAGGGGTTAGAGCAGAGGAAAGGCACGCTCAGATCCAGCCTGGAGCTGGGACTACCAAGTCCTCCCCGTGTCTGCAACTGTCCTTGTTGATCACCACGGGAGTTTGGACCTGCTCCGTTTCCGACCCGGACCGGTTCACCCCTCCTTAGGCAACTTGGTGGTCCCCTGCTCCTGGGAGGTCACCATATTGATGCTGAACTCAGTGCAGACACCCAATCAGCCTAACACACTACAGCCCAGAACTCCCAGGCTCGAGCAGTCCTCCTGCCTCAGCTTCCCAGGTGGGACTGCAGGCACACGCCATCACGCCCGGGTTCGAGCAGTCCTCCTGCCTCAGCCTCCAGAGTAGCTGGGACTGCAGGCACACGCCACCAGGCCCGGCTATAACCGTCCTTTTTGAAGGACTGATGCTCTCACTTCTGGCAGACCAGGTGCTGCCTCTCCCAACCCAGTCCCTGGCCAGCCCCAAGTCTCTCCTCCACCCCCAGCATGGGAGGAAGGGGCTGGCAGTGGGGACCCTGAGCTCAGGCCAAGGGGCATCAGGTGCTGGGCTGAGCAGCCAGGGTGTCGGAGCTGGATGTGGAGGGCGGAGGAGAGCCCTGGGCAGAGGTGAAGCAAGAGGCCGCCTGTGCAGCCCACGGGTGGAGGCCCTGGCAGGCCGAGAGAGAGTCTGGTTTCACTCTGCACCTCACCACTGCCTCCTCCCTGGGCCGACCAGGTGCTGACCCGCCCAGGTGTTGGCCCCTGGCCCCAGGTGACCTCTTCACTGGCGGAGGGGAGAAAGGATGTCTTCCTGTGTGTCCTGCACCGCGCCCCCTTCTGCTCTGCACCCCCACCCCCAGATCGGAATCCAGCTGCAGCAATCGGCCCCACCTGTGCCTGGGGAGGGCTCCTTGGGGAGCAGAGAGCCCACAGCCCGCCGGCCACTCTGCAGCTCCCAACTCTGGGGCAGCCCGCCTGGAGCCCACGGCCCCTCCCCCCTGCACCTGGTGAGGACCAGCTGCAGGGTCTGGGTCCTCACCAGCAGCCCCAGCCCCGGTGGACTTGCCCGCTCCATCTCGTATTGAGGACTCTGGTAAAGGTTCCCGGTCCCACACACTTGCTAAGAGCCCGGCCCTGGTGTCCTCAGAATCCCAAGCTGGAGGGAGGAGCACGGCCCTCCTCCAGCACTTCCAACCCCCAGCGTGCCCCAGGGGTCCAGCAGGCAGCTTAGCTGAGCCGGGCTCTCACCCTCACCATACCTGGCAGCCTGCAGGGACACAGGTGCCTTCCTGGTGGGGCTGGCAGCCGGTGGCTGGGGCCGGGTGGCCCAGGTGTGGGTGTGGCTGGGGCCACGCAGGTGTGGACCCTTCTGAGCGCAGAACTCACCTGCATTCTGGCTGCGGCTGCAGTTCCGGCCGGGGTTTGGCGGCCAGGAGAGCAGCTGCCAGTGGCGGGCGCTCCTACCTGACTTCCGCGTGGGGTTCGCCCCTCCCTCCTCCTCCTCCCGCGTCCCGCAGCCTCTGCGCCTGGGTGTAGTCAGGGAGGAGCTGGCGTCCGGGCCAGGAGAGTCCCCCAGCCCCTGGGGTCTGCGACACCTTCCTGGAGCCCAGATGGCGGGTCAGGGGCCGGAGGGGCAGGTGGGGAACTCCTAGGCTAGAGTTCCCGAGAACGGGGTTTCCACTGTGAGATGGAGCTCATGACACCTGGTCCTAGGGGGAAGCAGGATGGCACAGAGCCCCTGACAGAGCTGGCACCAACACCCCCACTTGCCTTGCCTCTCTCACCCCTGCTCACACATCCCCATGTTCCCTCCAAAAGCATCCCACCCCAGGCCACGGCCTCCCCAGCCCAGGCCACCGCCTCCCCCTCCCAGGCCACGGCCTCCCCAGCCCAGGCCACGGCCTCCCCAGCCCACAGGTCCAGTGTTGATTCCCTTAGAGGAGAAACTGGGGCAAGGAGGACTAAGGACGAGACAGACTCCCAAAGAAACTGTCTTCTCCCACCCGAGTCCCTGCTTTCTGGGCCCCAGCTGGGCAGTCCTTGGAGTCTTGGGGACAGGTGGCTGGCCCCAGGCTGTGTAGACAACGGAGGAGGAGTCCCCCACCCCACATCCCCAGGCCCTGAGCACGTTCTGTGCAGCCTGGGCTGAGGGCAGCAGCTGGGCAGACTCTGGGTGTCCTGAGAGTGACCGTCCAGTGGAGTGCCCCGAGGATGGAGGGGATGCAGGGAGTGGGGGCCCAGGCTGCGGGCTGGCAGGCATTGTCTGCAGTGTGTGTGGCGAGGAGTCCGCTTCTGATAGCTGCTGGGAAGCTGGGGAAGCAGGGACAGGGCTCTGCAGGCAGACGCTGTCACACCAAACAGCACCAGGCCCGCTGGGGCCAGAGCACCCCCGGCAAGCCCAGCAGCCCTCTACTGTGGTTCAGGCCCAGGGCTGACAGTTGGCTCCGGTTTCCCCAAGGGTTAACATGGCCCCACCCATGTTTCTCCTTGGGGGACCTCCTGACAGGCTGGGACAGCAGCAGAGACCACAGCTTTACCACTTTGGCAAAGACAAGGGAGTGAAGTGGTGGCCGAGGACCTGTGAACTCAGATGGAGCAAATCCAAATGGGACACATTAAGATTTGTGTGCAGAATGGTGGTGGCTTCGACAAGCTGTGTATTTCTCCTGTAAGTGAAATCTGGAGTTGGCCAGGTGCGGTGGCTCACACCTGTAATCCCAGCACTTTGGGAGGCCGAGGCGGGTGGATCACCTGAGGTCAGGAGTTCGAGGCCAGCCTGGCCAACATGGTGAGACCCCGTCTCTACTAAAAATACAAAAATTAGCCAGGTATGGTGGTGTACGCCTGTAATCCCAGCTACTCGGGAGGCTGAGGCAGGAGAATCGCTTGAACCTGGGAGGCAGAGGTTGTGGTGAGCCGAGATCACACCATTGCACTCTAGCCTGGGTGACAGAGTAAGACTGTCTTTAAAACAAAACAAAAGTCTGGAGTTGGCTAGTCCTGGACTAGCATGGCCGCACTACAGTCATCAGAGACCCAGAATGCCTTTAGCTTGTTGCTGTGCCGCCTTAAACATACGGTCCCATCACCTGGTCCAAAACGGCTGCTCAAGCTCTGGTCACCTCATCCACATTCCAGCCAGTGGGAAGAGGAAAGGGTGAAGGAGGCACCCTTAGTCACATGACCACACTCTACTGCAAGGAAGCCTGGGGCATGTGAGCTCTTTTCCCATGGAAGAAAGCAGGGTAAGCGGGACAGGGACCATCCAGCAGTCTCACCAGAGAGTCATAGCGGCCAAGTTCAATCTAGTTCAGAAACAGAATCTGCAAGGCTTGTTGAGCATGGGTGGAACTTACACGCAAGATCCACGTGCGCAGCTCCTGCACTGTCCGTGACGGGTGTGGCTCCCCAGTCCCCAGCTCAGCCTGCCCAGGATTCTCTGTGCTCACGTTGTCATTGTGCTAAAGCAATCTGCTGGCAGGTCGTGTGAGTTACTCAGGCATCACTTCTGCTGTCCACACAGCTGCTGTGCTCTTTTTCAATGACTTTTTCAGCATTCCAAGTTTCATTGCAGAAACTGTTCCTCCTCCCCCCACACCTTCCGTGGGCATCACCTGAGAAATCCTCAGTCACTCCCAGAGTCCTGGCTGCAAGGCCAGCTCATCCAGCCTCAGGGGAGAGAGCTCACTGAGGTGGCTGCACTGGCCGCGGGCCTCACCCGTTGTGGAAGTTCCCTCACATTCAGTGAAGGGTGGAGAGGGAGGGGGACCCCACCCAGTCCTATCTGGACAGAAACCAGTACAGCCCTTTCAGAAGGCAATTCGACTATAATACGTATTAAGAGCCTTAAAATTGTTTAGACTTTGGTCCATTAATCTAACTTTTTGTAAACTGTTCTAAAAAAGATGCAAAGTAATGAAAATACGTATATATGTCATTTGCCGCAAAAATTGTAAACCACTAATGTTCAACAATAGGAAAATATCAGCGAAAACGTGGTATTCATATTTATATGCTGATTAAGCAGACATTAGAAGTTATACTTTCAAAGAGTTTTTGAGAACATAGGAAAATGCTTATGTTATACTGTTAAATAAAAAACATAGATTACATGGCCGGGCGCGGTGGCTCAAGCCTGTAATCTCAGCACTTTGGGAGGCCGAGGCGGGCGGATCTCGAGGTCAGGAGATCGAGACCATCCTGGCTAACACGGTGAAACCCCGTCTCTACTAAAAAATACAAAAAACTAGCCGGGCGAGGTGGCGGGCGCCTGTAGTCCCAGCTACTCGGGAGGCTGAGGCAGGAGAATGGCGGGAACCCGGGAGGCGGAGCTTGCAGTGAGCTGAGATCCGGCCACTGCACTCCAGCCTGGGCGACAGAGTGAGACTCCGTCTCAAAAAAAAAACAAAAAACAAAAAACAAAAACATAGATTACAAACGTATAAAAAAATTTTGCAGATTAAAATAGATGTATTTATTTTATTATTATTTTTTTTTGAGGTGAAGTCTTGCTCTGTTGCCCAGGCTGGAGTGCAGTGGCGCGATCTCAGCTCACCCCAACCTCCGCCTTCCGGGTTCAAGGGATTCTCCTGTCTCAGCCTCCTGAGTAACTAGGACTACAGGCATGTACCACCACACCCAGCTAATTTTGTATTTTTTGTAGAGACGGGGTTTCACCATGTTGGCCAGGCTGGTCTCAAACTCCTGGCCTCAGGTGATCCGCCCACCTCGGCCTCCCAAAGTGCTGGGATAACAGGCATGAGCCACTGCACTTGGCAGAGATTAATTTATTTTTTTAAATATTCTTTTACTTTAAGTTCTGGGATACATGTGCAAAACGTGCAGGTTTGTTACACAGGTAAACGTGTGCCATGGTGGTTTGATGCTCCTATCACAAACATGTATAAAATGTTTATTTAAACTAAGCTAAGGTGCATTAAAATATGGGAAGAGTAGATTGATATTTGATATTTACATTTGCTTAACAATGTCAATGAAGGATGGTGTATTATGCTTTTCTTCATTATGTTTGTTTTCAAATTTTCTAACACAAACACGTAACACTTCAATAAACTGTCTTATTAAATTTGCTTTATTTCCATATTCAAGTCTATTACTTTAAACTTTCTTTCCCCCACACTCAGCCTGACTCTTGGCTTCCGGGTTTGAATGCAGCTCCTAAGAGGCAAGAGTTTGACCTGGACGTCCTGGCAGTTGGCCCTGCCCTGCGTTGGCAGAGAACTTTGGTCGAAGGCCCCGCAGGCCTCCTGCTCTTCCTCTGTGGACCCTGGACCCTGCTCCTCTGTCCTTCCTCCTCCCACTTCAGAAGACCCCGTCCACCAGACCGCCTCCCCCTGAAGCCCAACGTGCAGCAGAGTCCGCTCCTCCATCCCTGAAGCCTCCTTTTAACTGGGGGATATGGCAGCCACCCGTGGAGAGGTCAGATGACAAAGCCGGCAAGGGCCAGGGAGCGCCCAGGTGAAATCCCTCGGGCAGGTGTGAGCACCAGTTGTCATTACCTTTGCTCTGGGCCCCTCAGAGACCTGTCCTGCCCCACCCCACAGCCTCCTGGGTGTGGCCACAGACACTAATGCTTCGTCCAGAGCACTGCTCAGAGGCAGCCCCTGCCCCTGTATTCTCTCCCGGCTGGTCTCAAGCATCCTGCTGGCTCCAGCCTCTTGGCTGACAGTGCTTGGCAGGTGACCGCCAGCCTCAGGCCCCTGCAGGGGAGACCCTCTCCCAGATGGGCCTCTGCCCTTGAGGTCCACCTGAAGCCGTCCTTGCCTGCCACACCAGGCTGGCATTGGGGTGGGGACCCAAACCCCTCATGTCTTCATTGCAGGGACAACTGGGTCTCCCTGCTGCCTCCCCAACACCTCCGGGCCTTAAATTTCCACCCGTTCCAGCTTCTTGACTTGGGGAGCAGTCCTGCTGTGCACACTTCCTCCAACAAGCCGGAGAAAGCTCCCAGGCACAGGTGTGCATGTGGCACGGTAAGTTTTCTGTAATCCACTCACCTTTACGGATTTACCGCACCAGGGGAAATATTATAACAGGCATTGTTACTTTAGAAATTCCTGGGCTTCCTCTCCCTTCCTTGCAAGGGCATTTTTAGAAAGCATTTCGCCAACATTCACTATTTACTACCATAAATGTGACTCTGGCCAGCTCTGTCCCTGGGTAAGGCCGGAATTGACCATTTTCTTTTTTTTTTTTTTTTGAGACGGAGTCTCGCTCTGTCGCCCGGGCTGGAGTGCAGTGGCCGGATCTCAGCTCACTGCAAGCTCCACCTCCGGGGTTTACGCCATTCTCCTGCCTCAGCCTCCCGAGTAGCTGGGACTACAGGCGCCCGCCATCTCGCCTGGCTAGTTTTTTGTATTTTTTAGTAGAGACGGGGTTTCACCGTGTTCGCCAGGATGGTCTCGATCTCCTGACCTCGTGATCCACCCGTCTCGGCCTCCCAAAGTGCTGGGATTACAGGCTTGAGCCACCGCACCAGGCGACCATTTTCTTAAAAGTTCCAGCGCCCTAAGGCTCCTGGTGGGCATCTCCGCAGCTGAAGAAGGCTTCTGTCCCGTGCACCCTTCCCCAGGCGGGGGACCCCCAGTTCTGCTGCTCTGGCATTTCAAAGAACCAAGTCCTCCAAGCTGCTCCACTGCCTCCTAACACTAGCCACGGTCCTCCCTGAACCACAAACCTCCGGCCTCACCCCTGCCTCTCAGGCCCATGTCTTGCAATGGACTCTGCCAGTCCACGCATGCCTGGGTGTGGGGGGGTGCACTTATGCAGCTGGGGTGAAGACAGGGACAGGGTAATGTGAGACTCAGATATGAGACGCCAGGTGCAAAACTGCAGGTAGAAAGCCCCCTGTAGAGTGCAGGGGTTCAGGGTAGAGGCTCCGGGGTCTGGAAAGAGGTGGGTGTAGCTGTCACCAACCTTTCTCTGCCTTAGCTTTTTTTGTCTCTAAGCGACAGTCAAAAATAGAACCTAAGGGGTGTGTTAAGATCATAATAGTTGGCCGGGCGTGGTGGCTCACGCCTGTAATCCCAGCATTTTGGGAGACCAAGGTGGGCGGATCACCCTGCGGTCAGGAGTTCAAGACCAGCGTGGCCAACTTGGTGAAACCCCGTCTCTACTAAAAATACAAAAATTAGAGGCATGGTGGTGGGTGCACCTTTAATCCCAGCTACTCCGGAGGCTGAGGCAGGAGAATTACTTGAACCCGAGAGGCGGAGGTTGCAGTGAGCCGAGATCGTGCCATTGCACTCCAACCTGGGTGACAGAATGAGACTCTGTTTAAAAAAAAAAAAAAAAAAGAGATCACAATAGTTAGCATTTACAAAGCGTTGGGAATTCTACTTGGCACTTGGCCAGAGCTCCGTAGTGATGGGCAACGAACACGTGGTCTGCGCGCCCGGGCCGAGCGGTCTGGCAGCGCCCCGCCTTCCAGATCACGCTACTCCGGGTCCCAAGGCCCCGCCCCCGGCCCCGCCCCCGAGCCCACTGGCCAGCGCGTCATTGCGAGGCCGCCTCGCGCGCAGCGTCCTTGGGGCCAGGGACCCCAGTGGGGCCGGTACATCTCCCCGCCCCGGCCTCTGCACCCCGGAGGGACGGCAGGAGGGCTCTCTGTGCAGTTTGAGGGAACACTCATACGCAGGAAATGACCCCAACACCACCGAGAGGCGCCTGGAATGTGAGCGCCACCGGCTGGGATGGGAAGAGGTCTGGGAGGGGACCTGAAGGATGGTTCACAGGGCACCAGGCCTGTCGGGTGATTGCTGGAAAGATGGCATGGGCGGGAGCTGGCTGCTCTGGCCACTCAGCCGACCCCAGCTGGACGGCGCCAGGGCCTGGGGCAGGGGGCCAGGGCCTGGGGCAGGGGGCCAGGCCTGGGGAGGCCCAACAGCACGCCTCTTGGGGCCAGCGCGTCCCCCACTGCCCAGCCTTGTGTGTCAGGAGCTGGGGTGAAGGTCCTGTCACAGGCCCCATCCCTGCTGGGCGTGGCTGTGCAGGAGCCCCGCAAATACGTTTATGTATTTAGTATGTGAGTTATATTTCAATAAAGTTGATATGAGATATACTTCACATACCATGCAGTTCACCCGTTCAACTCGTTTCGAGCGAACAGTTCAGTGGTTTTTAGGACATTCACAGATAGGAGCCGAGGTCAATTTTACAGCATTTTCATCGCCCCAAAAGGAACCTGCTACCCTTTGTAGTCGCTCCTTATTACCCCTTCCCCAGCCCCCGGTGAAAACTCATCTAATTTCTGTCTTCATGGATTTGCATTTCCTGGACATTTCATACAAATAGATCACAAAAGGCGTAGTCTCCTGTGACGGGCTTCTTTCACCTAGCATAATATTTTCTTTTCTTTTCTTTTTTTGAGACGGAGTCTCCCTCCGTCGCCCAGGCTGGAGTGCAGTGGCACAATCTCGGCTGACTGCAAGCTCCGCCTCCCGGGTTCAAGGGATTCTCCCACCTCAGCCTCCCCAGTAGCTGGGATTACAAGCGCCCGCCACAACGCCCGGCTAATTTTTGTATTTTTGCGCCACAACGCCCGGCTAATTTTTGTATTTTTAGTAAAGATGGGGTTTCACCACTTTGCCTAGGCTGGTCTCGAACTCCTGACCTCAACTGATCTGCCCGCTTCGGCCTCCCAAAATGCTGGGATGACAGGGGTGTGCCGCCGCGCCCGGCCTGCCTAGCATGATGTTTTCAAGGTCCAGCCGTGCTGTAGAAGCGCGTGCTTCGCTCCTCTACGGCTAATAACATGCCGCTGTTATCAAAATGCTGCAGCCATGAGCGCTGTGTATAAGTTTGGCGTGGACACGTGTTTCCATGTTTGAGGAGCTGCCACATTGCTTTTCAAAGTGGCTCAGGAGCTAATTTTTTTGCGGGGTACCATGTCAACAATTTGGGTCAACCAAAACCAGCGTGTCCGCACCATTCTCGCCGCCCAATTTCGCGCGATCTCGCGAAAGAATGACCCAGATCAGTCCGGGCGCGGTGGCTCACGCCTGTAATCCCAGCACTTTGGGAGGCCGAGGTGGCAGATCACAAGGTCAGGAATTCGAGACCAGCCTGGCCAACATAGTGAAACCCCGTCTCTACTAAAAATACAAAAATTAGCAGGGCCTGGTGGCGGGCACCTGTAATCCCAGCTACTCGGGAAGCTGAGACAAGAGAATCGCTTGAACCCGGGAGGCGGAGGTTGCAGTGAGCGGAGATCTTGCCATTGCACTCCAGTCCGGGAGGCGGAAAAGAATGACCCAGATCGCTTGGGGTGAAGGATCGAGAAGCGCCCCAAAAGGAGAACGGGGCTGGGCTCCGGGATCTGTCGGCGAGGAAGGGGCGAAGGGGTGGAGGGACTGGGGCCAGGCCGCCGGGGATGTCTGTGGTTACCTCCAAGCTCTGGCGGCCTTGGCGAGACCCGCGCCACCCGCAGCTGGGTTCCCGCGACCTCAGCCGCAGGGCGGTTCGGCTCTGGTTTCCTGGCAACCAGGCGGCATCCTTCCCAGCAAGCACTGCGTCCAACTGGCGACGCCGGATCACGAGGCCCAGTATGCCCCGCGCGGACTACAAGCCCCACAATGCACCGCACACCCTTTCCTGGCCGGCCCCGCGCCGCTCTCCTGAGACCCCGCGGGCCAGCGCCGCGACCCCTTCCCGGCGCTCTTCGCGCTGTGGGCGGCGCGTCCTCTAGCCGGTGACCCGGTGTGCGTGGGGTCGAGGGGCCGGGCGGAGCGGCTCCGGGCCGAAACGCCATGCGGAGGGGCGAGCGCAGGGACGCCGGGGGTCCGCGGCCCGAGTCCCCGGTGCCCGCGGGCAAGGCCTCGCTGGAGGAGCCGCCTGACGTGCCGTCTGCCGGCCGAGCCACCGGGCCGGGCGCGGGCCGCCGCAGCACCGAGTCCGAGGTCTACGACGACGGCACCAACACCTTCTTCTGGTGAGGGGCGGGGGGCGGCTTCGGGGCGGCGAGGGTGTCCTCGGCCTGGGGGTCCCGGCACCGCTGGCCTGGGGGTCCCCGGCAGCGCCCTCCCGCCGTCTTGGAGACCAGGGCTGCGGCCGGGGATTCGAGGGTGTGGCAGCACCGCCCCCCGGGTCCCGGGGAGCGGCCGGACCGAGCTCCCGACGCCGGGTCTGACGGAGGGCGGAGGGCGGCGCTGTAGGCGGGGGAGACCCTGGGCAGACCCTCCCTGCGGCCACTTTGCGTCTCTCTCGCCGCCCTCCCCACCCCTGCCCGCCTTGCCTCTGACCGCGCGGTTCTGCGATCCTGACCCCTTCCCCACCGCTCGCCTCCAGCGTCACCCCAGAAACGCTCTCTCTGTCCTGCGGTCCAAGCTTCGCCTGTGTCCCCCGTCATTCTGCCTGTGGTTGCTCCTCTGCTTGCGGCTGCAGGAAATCATCTTGTGTGTCGCCCCCGGCCCCACGTGGCGATCGTGTTGATTAGCAGAGTGTTGTGCGTGCTTCAGGAATGTAGTCGGTGTTCGTCGAATCAAGGCTCTGTTTCTCTCCTCAGTTGCCCCTAGCGGGGCCAGCGCCTCCTCCCTGCACAGCTCAGCCTCAGCTAAACCTTGGGGTCCCCCTGTCCGCCACTCTGCCTTTAATGGGGGTGGAGAAGGAAGAGGCCCCCGGGAGCAGCTGGAGTGTGGCACTCTGTGTTCAGACAGGCTCCAGGCGCCGGTCCTCCTCCCGATGGCTGCGACCCTGGGCTGGCCCTTTGCTGATGCTCTTCTGTGAGAAGGATCAAGCCGTCCACCTGAAAGCAGGCTTCGTGAGAGGAGGGTTTGGCTTTTCTTGACTGCAAGGTGCCCAGTTCCCATCCTGTGGAAGGCCGGGGGCACAGGGGCAGTAGAGATGGCGTCAGCCCCAGGAAAGCGTGTGGGAGACAGGCACCTGCGGCCAGCAGTGGAAGGAAGGCTGTATGGACGCTTCCAAGAGAACCGTACTGTGGGATGGTCGGAGAGCAAATCTGAGGGGTGAGAGAGCCTGATGGAGGAGTAAGGGACATGTCAGGGGAAGGTACCACCACAGACAGAGACTGAACCGGCCCTGGCCTGTCACCGGCAGCCAAAGCTCTGGAGAGAGACTGTCCAAGTGGTGGGAAAGTGGGTTAGGGTGGAGGAGGCCCCACGCAGAGTCTTCCATGAGGTGTGGGCAGCTGCTGTTGCGGGGAGGGCATCCGAGCTCTCCTTTGGGGAGATGAATGCACCAGGTGGCTGTGGGGCCCTCGGGAGGGAGAGGAGATGGGGTGCCTGCCACGTGGACCCTCTGGCCTCCCGGCCCTGTGGACATCAGGCCTCTCCGTCAGGTGCCCTGCCACACCCCTTCAGGCCGTCCTCGCACAGCACAGCTGGGGACCACCGGAGTCTCTGAGGTCCTGGAGCAAGAAGACTGGACTGGCTCTCCTTGTTTCTCATTTGGCCGTTCAGCACATTTTGGGGACCCCTACTGTGTCAGTTACCGTTCTACGGGACACAGCAGAGAACTAAACAAGAAGCTTAGATTCTGGCACAGGCATGGAACTTCAGAAGGCACAAAATGTGCTGGCTGGAGGGGTGCTGAGTGTGGCGGAAGCCAGGGGGCACACACAAGCCCACCCAGTACCAGGGAAGCAGCAGCAGCAGCTCAAAGGTAGGAGGTGCTGGTCTCTTTAGAAGCACAGACCAGTGGTCCCTGCCCACAAGGGGTATTTGGGACACAGACGCCTGGGCATAGAAGGGCTTGCCTGTCAGGAGGCCAAGGGGGCCGGGGTGCTCTCCAGGAGCGGGTGCAATGGGGCTGGCTGGTCCGGGTACCTGCTTCCTGGGTCTTCTTGGTGGGTGGCTCTGGCTCTGGCTTTCCCCTCGACCCTGTCCCTGTAGAGACGCATGGGGCCGATTCTTGCTGCACCTCCTCCCTTCCCTGTGCCGAGGCAGGAGCTTCATGCTTCCGCGTGGCAGGTAACTCAATGCCTGTCTGGTGAGAATTCTGTTTACCTGCAGAGCCTTGCACTGACCTCCTGAGTCCACCTGTACTGATTTGCTGTGCTGGCATTTTTTTAACTCTTAATTTTGTGTTTTAGATAGTTTTACTTTTTATTTTTTATTCATTTTTATTTATTTATTTTCAACAGAAACAGGGTCCGCCTGTGTTGCCCAGGCTGGTCTTGAACTCCTGGCTTCAAGTGATCCTCCCGCCTCAGCCTCCCAGAATGCTGGGATTACAGGCGTGAGCCACCACACCCAGCCAGGGCGTTCATTTTCCAGGATGGGTGCACTTCCTCCGGCCAGTGCTGGCTGCCGTGTGTGAATTTTGTTTCTCTGTGATTGCTTGTCAGCCTTAGGGATAGGGCTTGCAGTTAGATTCAGGGCTCACCTGGCGCTGGGAGCACAAGGCTGAGCTCTTCTTCTCTAGATTCATTCAGGGTAGCAAGGACAATTGTGGGGAATGTCCAGAGGAAAACGTTTAGATCCACAGACTCCGAGAAGCGCTGTGCGAAGACGTGGCAGCTCGTGTGGTCTGGAAATTGTTTGGGAGAGCACCTGGAGACCCCTTACCTGGCGAGGTGCCTGTGAACGTTGTCGCCTGTCCGTGGAAGACGCTGAAGCAGCTTCGGATGACCACACTTGCTGATCAGCTCCCGCCGGGGACCACTGTGATGTTCCGAGAGTTTTTATGTTTATGTCTCGGAATGGGCGCCTCGAATGAGCCTTCTCAGTGACCCCCGGACTTTGTGTGTGGGGTGACCTCTGACCTTCAGATACCCCAGGTTTCTGGAAGATGCCTTTCTCTGTTGTCCTGGATTGGGCTTTCCCAGCTTTGCCTGTACCTGGGAGCACGAATAGCCAGATGAAGTCTTTCTGGTCTTGCTGGTCAGAGCCAGGAGGGCCAGTGCCCGGTCCAGGAGCCTCTCGCAGGCCTTGAGCAGCCCATCTGGGCATGGCCTTTCCTTGGCATTTTCCTCTTGGTCTTGGCCTTCCTGCCCACCATGAGAGTGGGCATGAAACTGGCCATCTCCAAGGAGGCAGCTGGGCCTTTTCCACTCCCCGTGGCAGGGAGCCAGCTGTCCCCATGGCCTCACCCTAGTGAAGTGGCTGAATTCCCAGGATTTATCACAGCTCTGTTCTGTGTCTGATCACAGGACCCACACCTTCCCGGGGAGTCTGCCCAGACAGCAGGGGGGTGGGAGGAGCCATTGAACAGAACTGGCATCCTGAGAGGGACACAGAAGTCTGCCTTTAGAGTCTTGTGCTATCTCGAGCAGCACTCTGTCACTTCCAAGATGTGTGGAGGTCATGCTGTGTGTAGCACAAGGACCGGAACTCACTAATACGGATCGTACTTTCCAGGAGCATTGGGTTTGAGCAGCTTTGAGACATGTCTTCCTGCAGGGCTGCTGTGCCCTTTCTCTGGGTCCCTTACCCTCTGCCTCCCTTCCTGCTGGGTCCTCTGTCTTCCCATTTCTGCTTCCCCAGGGCCAAGAGGGTGCTGGGCACGTGGTGGCCCCTCAATGGCTGTGCACATTTACCCGAAGGGACAAAGGTTGTCTTTGTATTTCAGGTAATCTCTGTGTTTTGGGGAAATGGAAAGATGGTGTCGGGTTAGGGTTGATTAATGATCAGAGTTTCCCTGGGCTTCACAAGGAGTGAGTGTCGGGTCGGGGTTGGTTAATGGTCAGGGTTTCCCTGGGCTTCACAAGGAGTGAGTGTCGGGTCGGGGTTGGTTAATGGTCAGAGTTTCCCTGGGCTTCACAAGGAGTGAGTGTCGGGTCGGGGTTGGTTAATGGTCAGGGTTTCCCTGGGCTTCACAAGGAGTGAGTGTCGGGTCGGGGTTGGTTAATGGTCAGGGTTTCCCTGGGCTTCACAAGGAGTGAGTGTCGGGTCGGGGTTGGTTAATGGTCAGGGTTTCCCTGGGCTTCACAAGGAGTGAGTGTCGGGTCGGGGTTGGTTAATGGTCAGGGTTTCCCTGGGCTTCACAAGAAGTGAGTGTCAGGTTGGTGGCCACTTTAGAAACCACAGGAAGGTCTTTGTCATGGAAAGTCGTGTGTCCCACCTGTAATCCCAGCACTTTGGGAGGCTGAGGTGGGTGGATCAGGAGGTCAGGAGTTTGAGACCAGCCTGGCCAATATGGTGAAACCCAGTCTCTACTAAAAATTCAAAAATTAGCCGGGCATGACGAGGCTGAGGCAGGAGAACTGCTTGAACCCGGGAGGCGGAGATCGCGCCACTGCCCTCCAGCCTGGGTGACAGAGCAAGCAAGATTCCATCTCACAAAGAAAAACCGAAGTCAAGTTTTAATTTTAACTTGTGTTAGCATGTGATCCTGTCTTTGTGTGCTATAGGGACACGGGCTGCTCGCCCCACCCCTCAAGCTTTGCGTTTATTCCTGGGATCCTGCATGTGAATTGGAGCCTGTGCTGTGTCTGGCAGACACTGACTGGGGTGCGGGCACGTCTGAGGGTCAGGGTGGGGCCAAGCGCAGCAGCCGCCTCCTCCGGTGGGTCTGTGTGTAGAGTGGTGGCATTCTGGGTGTCCCTGAGGCCTGGTTGTTCCCATCTTCTTCCTGAGCCCACGTGGAGAGGACGAGGGGTTTCCTCTGGGTCCTGCTGGTCTCTTGCAGAACAGGGGTGAGCGGTGTCCTCAGGTTGATCTAGCTTCTGGGTCTCCCATTCTGCATCTGAGCAGGTTGATGGGCTGTCTTCTCTTCCATGGTTAACCTCCCTTAGGCTGGGGCTCCTCCACCGTTTTTTTATAGACGTTATGCCCAGAGTGAGAACCCCTCACGTGGGGCGGCCGTGTGGTTCCAAGGCAGGCCCTGTTAGCTTCCCCACTGGAGGCCTCCCTCACAACAGGCTCCTGTCCCGGCACCTGCTCTCCAGCCAGGCAGAGTCCCGCTCCTGTGCACACCACACCGTCTGTCTGTGCTGTGGGCCCTCGGCAGCGTTCTGGGTGTCTGGAGCCCCTTGACCTTGTTCCTCTTACAAGATGGGCCTCGTCAGGAAGCCCCAGGATGAGGCTGTCCCTGGCTCCTCCGAAGGTCACTTCAGCCATGTGCACCCTTTGGAGAGGTCCCTGCTGTTTCTCAGGACTGCTGGGGATGGAGGCTGAGCTCGAGACTGCTTGCTCCTCATGCTCCTTCCTTGCTGTGGTCTCCGGAGATGCCTCCCAGGCCACGAGCCCTCCTGGCATGGTTTTACTGGGACCTGGCTTTGCAACAAAAATAGTTGTTTTAACCTCCCTAATCACTCCCATCCCTCTTGTTTTTCTCTGTAACGTGTAGGGTTTCTTAGCCCGCCTGTACTGGTCTCACTCCACTGGAAGGAAGGCTCAGGAAGGCTCAGGAAGGCAGGCTGTGCCTTCTCCAGGGTGCGGCTGGGACGGAGGCTCAGGGAGTGGCTGTGATGGCCGAGTGTCCAGGAGGCTCCAGGCCCCGCTGCCCGCCTTGCTGTATGACCTGCACAGTGTCACTTACAGCCCTGACTTGCCTGCAGGCACCACACACACTGCATGGAGGTGCCCTGGCCGGGCACGTACACAGCCAGAGCCACCGCGCTCCTGCTCGTCATCACATCAGTGGCTTTGTGATCTAAACGCTGCTTGTTGTTTTTGGTTTGTTTTTCTTTCTTTTATTCTTTCATTCTTTTTTTTTTTTTTTGAGACAGGATCTCACTCTGTCACCCAGGCTGGAGTGCAGGGATGTGATCTCAGCTCACTGTGGCCCCCAACTCCTGGGCCGAAGTAATCTCCCCTCACCCTGCCTCCTCCCAAGTAGCTGGGGCCAGACACATGCCACCACGCCCAGTTATTTATTTACTTTTTTTTGGTAGAAACAGGGTCTCACTATGTTGCCCAAGCTGGTCTCTAACTCCTGGGCTCAGTTGATCCTCCTGCCTCAGCCTCCCAAAACTCTGGAATTACAGGTGTGAGCCACGGCACCTGCCCCCAAACACTCCTGACTCTTATCCTAACTGGGGTCATCTTACTCTCCTCACCGAAATCTGATGTCACCTGTATGGAGGAAAGGGTGGGCCTCATGGAGGGGCAGGCCGGGGGACACGGGACTCCTGGGCCCCAGCGGAGCCCCAGCCCGTTTCCCCTAAAGGGCTGTCTCCAGGAAGACGCGTTCTATAAGTGTAGTGTTGAGCGGAGAGTGAGTTTCTGGGTCGCCAAATCCAGGCACCCTTAGGAGTGGAGGTCTACGGGGCCTTCTGAAATGGGTCCTCTGCTGTGATTGTGGCAGGTCTCTGAAGGACCCCACTGTACTGAGCTCAGCGGGAAGGCTGAGGTGCCCTGCGTCTCCTCGTGGCTTAGGACTCAAATGCAAATGTATTTTTTAAAAAAGGTGGTTGATAGTTACAATGAAACTTTTATTTACCTCTGGTTGTCTTAAATGCCTAGTATTGTAAAATATGGCAGAAGAATTCACTTTTATGCCTGTAATCCCAGCACTTTGGGAGGCCAAGGTAGGCGGATCACTTGAGTTCATGAGTTTGAGACCAGCCTGGAAAACATGGCAAGATGCTGTCTCTACGAAAAATACAAAAAAATCCAACCTGGGCCGGGCGCGGTGGCTCAAGCCTGTAATCCCAGCACTTTGGGAGGCCGAGACGGGCGGATCACGAGGTCAGGAGATCGAGACCATCCTGGCTAACA